GAATCCGGGTGGAGAGACAGTGATGCGGAAGGTGCAGGGCAAGGGGAGGGGGAGGGGGAGGGGGAGGGGGAGGGGAAAAGGGGATGGGGAGGGGGAGGGGGGAACCTTTCTGAGTGGCGGAGAGGATGGGGTCGCCCTTCTGCCCGTCCGCTGTGATGCGATGTGCCTCGATGTCCACTATGGTCACATCGCCCATCTGCATGCGCGCATGCATGCACGCACACATCCACACATGGGGTTAACATCAGTAGACACACTACGTTTAGCTTTAGCAAGAGGGACAAGGGTGTGTGTGTGCATGTCCGTGTGCGCACGTGCTGGTGTGTCCATGAGCAAGCATCTGTGCATGCGGCCATGGGTGGGCATGGGTGTGCATGGGTGCAGATGGGTGTGTGTGCATGCACGGGTGTGTGCATGCACGGGTGTGTGCATGCATGGGTGTGTGCATGCATGGGTGTGTGCATGCACGGGTGTGTGCATGCACGGGTGTGTGCATGCACGGGTGTGTGCATGCATGGGTGTGTGCATGCATGGGTGTGTGCATGCATGGGTGTGTGCATGCACGGGTGTGTGCATGCACGGGTGTGTGCATGCATGGGTGTGTGCATGCATGGGCATGCAGCAGCAGCGGCATGACCTTGAGGCCAGAGTCCTGCGAGATATTGAGCCGACCCATGCTCTTGAGCTGCGTGCATGTGAGTGTATGTGAGTGCATGTGAGTGCATGTGAGTGCATGTGAGTGCATGTGAGTGTATGTGTGAACATGAAGCAGCAGCACCTTGAGGCCAGAGTCCTGGGAGATATTGAGCCGACCCATGCTCTTGAGCTGCGTGCATGTGAGTGTATGTGAGTGCATGTGAGTGCATGTGAGTGCATGTGAGTGTATGTGAGTGCATGTGAGTGCATGTGAGTGCATGTGAGTGCATGTGAGTGCATGTGAGTGCATGTGAGTGCATGTGAGTGCATGTGAGTGTATGTGTGAACATGAAGCAGCAGCACCTTGAGGCCAGAGTCCTGGGAGATATTGAGCCGACCCATGCTCTTGAGCTGCGTGCGGATCTGCCTGTCCGCTGCTGCCTTGGCCGCCTCCTCCCCGTCGTCATCCACCTCCACCTCCACCTGCAGCGCTGCATACGGCCGCTCGCCCTTCCACTTCACTGACGGCGCCACGTCCACTGTCACCTCGTACCTGATGAAGTGGGGGACGAGGGGATGTGAGAGGGGTGGGGATGCTGGATGGTGAGGAGATGTGATGATGATGATGAGATTGCACCAGTGAAGGGAGGAGGGGGTTGAGTGCAGGGGGAAAGATGAGGAAACGATGTGGATGGGGGTAAGAGAATGAGCAAGATAGGTAGTGTGCGGGGGAGGGAGGGAGGGAGGGAGGGAGGGAGGGAGGGAGGGAGGGAGGGAGGGAGCGGGGCTGACGAGAGGGGGCTGTCGGGTTGGAAGGCGGCAACGAGGTCGTCCACGTTGGATGTGATGTTATGTGCTCATGAGGGTGCACGAGTGAACGGAGGGGGGGGGTGAGTGGGGGTTCGATGATGGGGAGATGGAGTGGATGGGCGGAAGAGGCAGCAAGAGGGGGTTTAGGGGGCTGACGAGAGGGGGCTGTTGGGTTGGAAGGCGGCAACGAGCTCGTCCACGTTGGATGTGATGTGCTCCGAGTCCTTTAGCGCCCTCCCCGCCACCTGATGGTGTGCGTGAATGCATGCAGGGCAGCACATACACACACGCATACATGCACGCGTGCAACACATATCCGCAGCACACATTGGGTCAGACGTGGGGCATGCACACATGCATGGCATGGGGCGAGCATCAGGAGATGCAAGAGGCACAGCCCCCGTGGGGCAGAAGCAAAGGGCATTGCATCTCGCAGACATGTGGGCAACAGGTGGTCCAGGAGAGAGTGGGGCGAGCACGAGGAGTGCAGTGCGGGGATGGGCGCGAGGAGGGTAGAGAGAGGCGAGTGCGGGATGAAGGGCACACGGAGGCGACTGGGGGTGGGGGCAAGGGGGGAGAAGAGAGGGGGGCGCGCACGGAGGCGAGGGCATCGGAGAGGGTGGACTGCAGGAGGAGGTCGAGCGCCTGCAGCTTGACTGGGCGCTCCCCGTACTCGCGCACCAACAGCCACTCCGGCACCCTGTCGCCCTTCCTGAACCCCTTTATCTGCTCCACGCGAGGGGGAAGGGAGTTGGGGGAGAGAGAGGATGGCGGAGGAAAAAGCGAGTGAGTGCATGGGGTTGGAGACGGTGAGAGAGCGGCAGTGCGATGCGAATGGGGGGGCAGAGAGGAAGGGGGTGCCGGCATGGCATGCGAATGCGGTGCAGCAGTCGCACAGTAGCCTCACAATGGCGGACGGCAGCGGCATGTGATGGACCAATGCCGGTCACTGCACTGCGTGCGCTGCGAGTCACCTCACCTGAGTGGTGCGCATCAGCTCTTTAACGGTCCGCTGCCACGTGTCAGCGCAGATCGCGGCGGGCACCGTCACCGTCAGTCGAACCTGCTCACAAGGCGCCGCACGGCACGGCACGGGGTATAAGTAGGGGCGCGGTTGAGGGGACAGGGTTCTGCGCGCGCGCGTTGCCCGTGTCCGCGCTGTTGCATTCAGACCGCCACGGCGCGGGCACCTGTTCCCACTATCGCCCTCTCGCCTCGCTCGCCCCGCCTCGCCGTGGCTCGGAGCATCTGCCTTCCCGCGTCACTGCGTGTCGCCCATCGCCTGTTGCCCACAATGCGGCAGTCAAGATCTAGCCTTTTCCAGGCAGCTACAAGCCCCGTGGCATTTCCCATGACGAGCGACGCGAGCGCTGTGGAAAACGCGAGCGCTGTGGAAAATGTGAGCGATCGCGATTGCTCTCGCGAAGGCCTGGCGCCGAGACGACAATGCCGGCATGCGAGGATACCAGCGTCGCCGCGGCAGCTAGCGCCTGCTGCGACGAGGGCCCGCGACATGGCGTGACACGCATGAGCGCGGCTACTGACGGGCGAGGGGGAATCGATCCTCCGTGCACCAAGCAGCACGGGTGCTGCCGCCACTCACCCGCGAGTTCTCGTCCTCCTCAGACTCCGTGACCTCCACACGCGGCTTCTCCGCCTTCGCCTTTGACTTGCCGCCCCCCTCCGCTGACGCTGCCGCTACAGCATGCCTGGCACGTTCGCCAAGGGTCGCCGAGCGGTGTAGCTGCTTTCGCCGGCAGCATTCGTGCGACTGGCGCTTTAACGGAGCGCCCAGGAACGAGCAGGCAGGTCGAGCATTGGTGGTGGCAGCAGAGGAAGAATGGATCGCAAGGGATGCGGCGGGCGCAGAGGCGAGAACCTTGGAAGCCATGGTTGCTGATGAAAAGAGTGAAAAAGCTGATCAGGGCGGGAGATATTTTGGAAACAGTTCAAGCTCTGTACTCGTTACAAAAGTGCCTGATATCTCCAAATCACCAGACAGCTACACAGAATCAATTTATTCGGAGAAGCACGAACAAGGAGGAATATTTGTGAATGAACCATAGAGCCCTCATGGTCACCTCCGGAGGAAGAGCCAATGAAGGCATGGGATGACGTGGCAGTACCATATCACAGTGGCAACAGGCTTCCTCTGGTCATCCCAGGCCAACGTACAATTGCGTTGCACAGTGCTAATTTCGGGCAGGTTTTGGTCAATGCAAACTGGTTGGTGATCACTGTTTCGTCCCCCGAACAAAGCGAGGATTTATAGTTTCTGGAGAACTTCTGATGGGATGAATGATGTTCGATTTTCAAAGAAAACTTATAAATGTTTTTGCGAACTGCCGTGACCTCTTGCGTTGACGCCAGGCTGGCGCTCGATTTGTTCAAATTGACATCACGCCACGACCCGCTGAGCTGACCCCCTAGAGGCGATTCGGCCTGGTGTCGCAGCCAACAACCAGGCGAACCTCCCCCCACGTCCCCCCCAACATTCGCCACCTGGCGCCCAACACTGAGGGCGTGTAAAATCCCCTGTGCAAGTGCGAAATCGGGGTTTGGCCGAATTTTCGTCGACCATGTGGTCGACATTTCTTTCGCGAAAGTCGACTTGGTGGCCGAATTCGAGTCGTCCAATTTTCAGCCACCATTTGCAGGTTTGCGGATTTTACAACTTTGGTGGCCAATTTGCAGGCCGGTTCGGAAAAGTTGTAAAATTTGGAGTTACTACAGTAGTTGGGAAGTGCGACGGGGTCGCACATTTAACAGCGATATTTCTCATTTTGACGATATCAAAAAATCTGTCGTTCGGCGATTACCGTGCGACGTCGTAGGCGTTTGTCGCACACTGTGTCGACTACTTGGCCGTTTTGGTGTCGACTCGGCGTCGTTTTCGTGTCGACTTTTTAAGCGGCCATCAAATTCGTTTTTGTTTTTGCGAAATTTGCGACTGTCGCCACTAGACTTACGACTATCGCTGGCTGGTTACCTTCACAGAAACGGCCCGACGGATTGTGGCCGAATTTTTTGAGTTTCTGATTTTACACGCCCTGAGGAATCATCCGCCTCTCCCTGCAATTCAGTTCCGCCTACTGTACAGCTGTTCGCTCTGCCCCTCCCCCGCCTAACTCCCCGCCTCTATTCGCTCGCGGCCAGCTCGCTAGATCGACCGCCAGCTTGCCGCAACAGGCTCACCAGAAAGCAAGCACCCCCGCACCAACCCACCCACCAGGTTCAAGCCACCCATATGATGTGACATGAGACCTCGACATCGTGCGTTCTAGAATCTAGGAACTGTCGTCGCACAAGCTTGCTCGACTGACTAATTCACAGTGAGAGGGCGTAAATGCTCGCCTGAGTTCAGCGAAAGCATGCCCGCAGCGGCCGTCGCTGTGCTTGGGGGGAACGAATGCATTGCAGATTATCCCGCTCACTGCGCTAGCCCCCCGCACCCGGCGCGTACCGCTCGCCATAAATCCGCTTCCCGCCCGACGGGTTGCGCAGGCATTGCCGGTGGCGTGGGTACTAGCGAGACGAGAGAGGGCGGGCCAGTTATGGATGCACGAAGCGGTTGGGAATACGCAGGAGTAGGCAAGAGAGGCAGCCCGGGGTCACGAGGGATGCGCAGCGGTGAGGAGGTGAACATGAGAGGGCGGGGCGCAGTGGACATGGATGTCTTGTGGGCGGATCCAGCGGTGGGAAGGGGGGGCGGGGATAGGGATGCGCGCGCTGATAACGGCGGGGAAGGCGGGGAGTACGACGACGACGACGAGGAGCACGAGGCGCCGGCGCTGGAGCGACTGGAAGCCGTGTCGCGCCACTCGACCCCGTCGCGCTTTTCGTTGAACGCCTCGCCCGAGGTGCCTGGCGCGGGCAGGGAAAGGTCCGCTGAGGGCATTCCCCGACCGCGCACCGGAGGGCACGGCGCGCGCGGTATGCACGACGGCGCGCAGGCGCAGAGGGGCGACGGGGCGGCCAAGGTCCATCCGCGCACCCGGGCACTGCGCGCGTCGCACCACCGCCGCTGGGCGTCGTTCGACGGTTCGAATGCCATGCTTTGGGACGGGGAAGACATCTCGCGTGCGCATTCCGCGGAGAATTCGGCGCGGTTGCCATGGGGCGGCGCGGCGGAGCAACAGCTGCAGAGCTCGCTGCACCCCGACAGCCTGCTCCGCGATCCCTCCGCGTCCGCGGTCGGCTCAGCTTGCCCAAAGCCCTCCGTGCGCCGAACGCGCACGCGACAGCAGCGACAACCGCGGGCGAACGCGAGCAGCCAGCTGCAGATGCGATCTCGATCGGACCAGCTGGGTGAGTCGGGTAACCAATCAGATGGCGAAGTTGAGGGCGGCGGCGCGTTAGCGGGCGAGGGGTCCTCGGACGACGACGAGCTATTCCGCCCCACGCCGCCGCGCATGCTGGGCGGCGTAGGAGCGCGGTCCGGCAGGTGGGCGAGCGCGAGCAGCGGGGAGCGCGGGTCCGTGCTGGCGGCATGGCAGCAGCGCGAGCTGGCGCAGGTGGAGGAGAAACTCCGCCACGCGGGCGATGGCGGAGAGATGACGGGAGGCGCGCTGGCGGGTGCGAGTCAGGGGCGGGGAATGGATGGACTGGGGGACGAGAGGCGCAGGCTCGGCGGAGAGGCCTTGTGGGGGAGGGGGGAAGGGGAGGCCGAGGCGGAGGCGGTGGGCGCAACGGAAGGGGACGGTAGTGAGTCAACGGTCAGGGGCGCGCAGGATGGTGCGCTGGCAAGTGAGATAATGACACGTGGACTCTTGGATGATGCTGACGTGGATGCGAGGGAGAATGGGTCGTGCAGAAAGGGCGACGCGGGAAGGTGGAGAAGGGAGCAAGGGGAAGACGGGGGTGAAGGGGAAGCGGGGGAGGATGTAGGAGGGCGGGAGGGAGGCAGTAAAGGGCTGGTGGGGGGCACAGCGGGGCAGGAGGAGGCGGAGGCGGAGACTCAAGAGGGGGAAGATGCGGAGGGGGAGGTGGGGGCGGGGGAGAGGGGGGAAGCTGACGGAGAAGATCTGGAGGTGGTGAGCAGAGTGGACGGCGCGGAGGGGGAGGGGGAAAGCGAGGCGCGCAGTGCAGAGGAGCACAAGGCGGAGGAGGGGGAAGAGCGCGAGCAGGGTGGGCATGGGGAGGGCGGGTGGCCCAAATTCCTGCGGCGCAATGCAACCGCGCAGCCGGGGGGGGCCAAGGGGGAGAGTGGGGGGGGCGGGGGAAGCCGGCTGGGGCAGCTGCTGCGCAACGGGACGTTCAAGCGCCCACAGGGGGAGGGCGAGGAGCGCCACGGCAGCCGCCTGGGACGCGTGGCCACCGCCGTGCGCGCTGGGCTCAAGTCCAGTGAGACTCGGGGGAGGGGAAGGGGAGGATGTGGGGCTTTAGACATGGGGGGAGGGGGGAGAGGTGGGTTGGCATAGGGCGTGGGGCGGAGGAGGGGGAAAGGGCGAAGGACATGGGGCATGGGGTGTGGGGTGTGTGACGGTCGGAAGTGAAGGGGGGATTAGTGGGGTGACTGCCTCGTGCCCCTTGGTCCACCTCATCTCTTGGTCCCCCTTCCTCATCTTCTCTTCTTCTCACCAAACCACTCTCTCCCCCCCCCCCCCTCCCCGTGTGTGTGTGCTGTGTGGTTGGGTGCAGGCTCCTCCTTCAACGCGCGCAAGCATGCACAGCAACACCCACAGGAGCAGCGGCAGCAGCAGCAGCAACAGGAGCAGCAACAGTGAGAGCATGCGCCCTTGCCATGTCCCCTCTTCTCCATGGCCCCTAGCTATGCCCCTTCCGCACCTTTATGCCCAAACTGCTCCCCCGGCCACTCGTTCTTGCCTCTCTCCCTCCGCCCTGTACACCCGATTCCCCCCCACATCTCCGCCCAAGGATTCACCCCGGATATCTTCTCTCATACGCACCCCGTTCTCCCCTCTCCCCTCTTCCCCCCTTCTCTCTTTCCCCCCCACCTTCCCCCATCCGCGCGCGCAGGGAGGGGAAGGGCTTTGAGGGGCTGGCAGCGCCCAAGCGCGTGCAGTTCCAAATGACGGAGCTGGAGGTGAGGGGGGGGGGGGAAGGGATGGGGGGAGGAGAAGAAGGGGGGTTGGGGGGAGAGAACGGGGATGGAGAGGCGCATGGGGGGAAGGATGTGCGGGGCAAGAAACATGTTAGTAGTAGTGATGGTGCCGCAAGTTGTGCTATGAGTGTCGCCATTCATGCTTCTTGCAGCCATCAGTGCTGCATGGGGTGTGTGGGTAGTGCCACTCAGCATGGCCGTCACCCCATTCCCCACCGCACATGCCCTGCCCTTGCACAACACCCTCTCACTGCATCAAACCCCATGCTCTCTCACCTCCCAGGCTCCCACTCCCATCCCAACACCTCCCACACACCATCCCACTCCTCCCCCGCCTCTCCACCCTCTCTCCTCCTTTCCCATACGCCTTCCCCTCCCCCGCGCGCCTCTCAACCCTCTCTCCCCCCTCCTTCAGTTCGCCACCAATGGCTTCGCGAGGGAGAACGTGCTGGGCGAGGGCGGCTTCGGCACAGTCTACCGCGGGCTCCTACCAGTGGCCCCGCGGGTGGAGGTGGCGGTGAAGGTGTTGAAGCAGCTGGGCGTGCAGGCGGACGAGGAGTTCCACATCGAGCTCGAACTGCTCTCCCGCCCTCTCCACCCTCCCACTCCTCCCCTACCCTTGCCTTTCAACCCTCTCCTCCACCTCCCTCTCACAGTTCGCCACAGACGGCTTCGCGCGGGAGAACATATTGGGAGAGGGCGGATTCGGCACGGTGTACCGCGGCCTACTACCAGTAGCACCCCGCGTGGAGGTAGCAGTGAAGGTGTTGAAGCAGCTGGGCGTGCAGGCGGACGAGGAGTTCCACATCGAGCTCGAACTGCTCTCCCGCCTGGACCACAAGAACCTTGTGCGCCTGCATGGCTTCTGCTCCACCGCCACCCAGCGCATGCTCGTTTATGAGTACTTGCCTAATGGGAGCCTCACCGACCACCTCCACGGTAGGTCCGATCCTCCTCGCCCCCATGCGCCTCTATGCGTTCCCCGTGTGCGCCACCGACTCCCAGTGCATGCTCGCATACAAGTTCCTTCCCAACGGCACTCTCACCCACCACCTCCACAGTACGGCCTGTGCTACGTGCCGCACACTCCCCCCCTACACCCTTTGCAGCCATCCGCTTGTGCGTGCCCCTCGCCTCCCCTCACCTTGCCTCGCTGTTCCCCACTTCCAAGCCATCTTGCCTGGCTGCCTGTGGGACCCGCTGTAGCAAAACCATTTCCATCCGCGCCCCACACCCGCAGGCCCCCCTGGAACGGCGGAGCTGTCGTGGGAGCGGCGAGTGCGCATAGCAGCGGGCGCGGCGAGGGGGCTGGCTCACCTGCACCGACAGCGACCTCAGATCCTGCATCGTGATGTCAAGGCACCCAACATCCTGCTCACCTCCAACTTCACTGCTAAGGTGCGCATGTGGCACCGCACACCGCAGTTCAGCGCAGCAGAGCAGAGCAGCAGATCAGAGCAGCAGAGCAGAGCAGCAGAGCAGAGCAGCAGAGCAGAGCAGCAGAGCAGAGCAGCAGAGCAGAGCAGCAGAGCAGAGCAGCAGAGCAGAACAGCAGAGCAGAGCAGCAGAGCAGAGCAGCAGAGCAGAGCAGCAGAGCAGAGCAGCAGAGCAGCAGAGCAGAGCAGCAGAGCAGAGCAGCAGAGCAGAGCAGCAGTGCACATGGTGTCACGTCACTCACACCCCGTGCACATCCGCCAATCCCCCCTGTGCCCCAACGCACCTTGAGTGCCCTCGCCTTCCCTTGTGGCCCCTCGCCCCATCGAACCCCGTGCCGCCACTCCCTGCCTTTGCATGCATCCTCTCACTCTCACTTTGACCCCAACCCAGCCTTCCCCCTTTTCCCCTTTTCCCCCACAGGTGGCGGACTTTGGGCCTGATACGGCGCACGGAGATGGTGGAGGACGCGGTGTCAGGCAGGCAGGTGGAGCTCCGTGCCGCCACCCCCTGCCCCCACATGCATCCTCTCACTCTCACTTTGCAACACAACCCCCCCTCCCCCTCCCTTTCAGGTGGCGGACTTTGGGTGTGCGAAGCTGATACGGCGCACGGAGGTGGTGGAGGACGCGGTGAAGGGGCGGCAGGTGGAGCGGCTGTGTGACAGTGTGGACTATGCCATGGGCACACCGGGTCACATGGCGCCTGAGATGCTCATGACTGGGGAAATCAGCGCTGCTACTGATGTGTACAGGTGCGCCAAGCAGGTGGATGGGGGATTGGTGACGGGATGCATGCATCCACTCTCTCCTTCTGCTGCCCTGTGGCTCACCACTTCTCCCTTTCACCTGCCTACCATCCCAAGTGGGTATGTGCCCCTACTCGTCTCAATGCCCATCATCCCAAATTAATTTCCGACCACGCCTCTCCCATTCGGCCTCATGCCTTCAGTCCTTTTCGCACATGTACCACCGCCGACCTTTTCTCTCCGCCCACCCAGTTTCGGCGTGGTGCTGCTGCAGCTGGTGACGGGGCGGCTGCCGATCGACTCGAACCGCCAGCAGCTGACGATGTGGGCGGCACCACTGCTGGAGGAGGAGCGCTGGGAGGAGCTTGTGGATCCGCGCCTGCAGCGCGCCCTGCTGGGCCGCGCCAATGGGGGGGGCGCAGGGGGCGGAGGAGGGGGGCGAGGGGGGGAGGATGGCGCAGGGGCAGGGGCGGGGGCAGGGGCAGTGGGGGAGTTGAGGCGGCTGGTGGCGGGGCGGTCGGTGGGGCGGTGTGTGCAGCTGGCGGGCACATGTCTTGACATGGACCCGCTGCAGCGCCCCTCCATGGAGGACGTGGCTCTCTCCCTGCTCGCCATCTACAGCTCAGGTGCCTGCCTTCCTGCCTGCCTGCCCACCCCTCCCTCACTGCCCACCTCTCCCGCACTGCACATACCCCTCTGTCATTCAACCATCTCAATTACTGCCCTCCATGCCCCCGCCCCCCCCCAGCCTGCGCGGAGCGTGATGAGGCGCTGCAGCCGGCAAGCGAGGGCTTCAGAAGCGGGCGAATGCTGCCGCCCGCCGGCCCGTCCGACCCCACGCGGGCGGGGTCGGGGGGGAGCGGCATGCCGGGGGCGGTTGGGGGGGGGAGCGGGGCAGTGGTGGGGGGAAGTGCGCGGATGACTGCCAGTAGTGGGGGGCTGTCAGTGTCGCCTGAGAGGCCAGCCGGGACTGCCAAGGCCAGATTCCAGAGGTGCTGCTCTGCACGCCCACACCATGCCCCACGTGCTCTGCATTCCCTGTGCCCTCGTGTATTTCCCCTTGCTCTTGTGCATGCCCCATGTGCATGCCCCATGTGCATGCCCCATGTGCATGCCCCATGTGCATGCCCCATGTGTATTTCCCCTTGCGCCTCACCCTTATCTCTCTATCTCTCTCCCTCCCTCACTCTCTCTACACCAGGAACCGGTCAGCCCGGCACACGAGCTTTGGATGACACTGCTTGGCTAGTGTGCATACATGAGCAGCTTTGGATGGTGCTGCTGGGGCCACGCCAAGCATGCAGAGAGGCATGCAGGGAGGCGTACTACAAGTGTCTTTATTAGCAGGGCACGGTGGGGATGCAGTGCCTGAGCAGCCAGAGCAGGAAGGCTCAAGCCAGGCATGCACCACCATAGCATGCGGTGTGCCTTGCCACACACCCATGTGCTCGCACTGTGTGCTCATGGGCTGGCAGCGGTAGGGAGGGTGCAGTGTGCGCGCGGCTGAATAATAGTCCACCTGTTGAGTGCCGCCACGTAGGCAGGAGCAGCTAGGCGCATTGCCTTGTGGGTCCGTCATAGATGGAACCCTTGAGCCTTCCTGCTTCTTCATCCCATGCTGCTAAAGGTGCACCCACCTACTCACATCATCCTTATCCGAGCCCAACAGTTGTGGCTGCTGGCAGCAGTGGGCAGTGAGCATGCACTTCGCAGTCCAGTGGGTGTGCGGCATGGTGGGGAAAGATGCTACCAGCAGTGAAGGCACAGTTAGACAACACCAGTGGACGCTTAGGTGTATCTGTATTGCACTCATTATTTCATATTTGCCATACAGTCATTATCCTGCAGGCGTTTTTGCCATCTAGTCATTAAGGCGAAGCAAGGGCACAGGGCGTAGTATTGTACTTTGTAGCAGCTACTAATACTGCTGTCTTTAATATCCCTGTCACCTGCTGCCACGGCAGCGCATTAGCGTTGCGCCGTTAGCTCAGCTATCAATTCACCTTCGGTACGGTAGGGTAAGTCCAACGCAGTCTTGCTGCAAGCCTCAACGCAGCGCCACTGTTCTGCAAGGTAAGCCCGCCCCTTCAAGCGATGCCGTGTTCGCGGCGCCACGTTTCATAGAAGAGGTCGACCCACGTGTCGGGCAGGCCGGGCATGCAGGGATGCAGGCAGTCCTGCGATTTGGGGCGCTGCGCGGCGATCATGGCGTCTGAGCGGAAGAGCGAGGGGTGCGTGATGTCCACGAGGCGGATGGTGCGGCTGCCCTTGAACACGCTCGCCTGCGACGGGTACCACACGCGGCTCTGCGAGTTGTTGCGCTCAAAGAACGAGTACTGCGCACGGGGGACAGGGGGAGTGGGGCGGAGGGGGGAGGGGGGAGGGGGAGCGGGTGAATGGCGATTGGCGGAGCAAGGGGGGCGTGAGAGGTGCAGCCGTGCGCTGTGTGTACGCGGGCGCCAGCAGATGTCTATGCCCTCCCTACACAGCCTCACAGCACGCCCCAGGCTCAGCATAAGCTGCTGGCATGAGTAAGGCGGGCGCACAGGAGTGCGGGCTGCTAGAAAGCAGGCATGATGCGGCCATTGACCGTCCCCAAGGGCATCCGTGCCCCTTCTGCTCTGCATTCGCCTGTCTCCCGCTCCCTCTCTCCCGACTGCACATCCCAAGCCTCCTCCTCCCCTTTTCCCCCCTTCCCCCTTCCCCCTTCCCCCTTCCCCCTTCCCCCACGCACCATCTGCGGAGAGCTGGCGGCCTTGGCGCCCTGGCAGCCGGCGAGGCGCGGCGGCGCGGAGAGGAAGTACATGGGCGGCAGCCGCCACCGCTTCACGCTCTTCGCGTCGAACGTGCGCGCCAAGCGCCGCAGCGCCATCCTGCGGAGGAGGTGCGGGGACGCGGGCGGGGTGTGGGAATGGGGAGCGGCGGGCGATGCGGATGAGGCTATGCGCAGGCCCATGAAGAAGAGGGGGATAGCAGTGGAGCATGGGCATGGGGCATGGGGCATGGGGCATGGGGCATGGGGCATGGGGCATGGGGCATGGGGCATTGCGAAAGGCGAATGGCGAATGGCGAATGGGGCACGGCGAATGGGGCACGGCGCAGGGGGCAGGGGGCGGGAGGGCGGGCATACTTGTAGGCCTGCACGGTGTTGGGCTCGGGCTTGATGAGCTGCCACTTGCGGTTGACGAAGAATCGCCGCAGCCACGTCTTGGCGTGCGGCCAGTGCGTCGCCGACTGGAACACCACCATCCCGAACCGCCCGACCTTGTCAAACCATGTGGGGTCGAACGTGTGCAGATTGACGGCCGTGTCGCCCAGGCCGGGGTTAGTGACTTTAATGCGCGCCAGCACTTCGTTCTGCGTGGAGTAAGCCATGAGGAAGGGGCTCCAGTAGTTGACGATGGTGACATTGTACGCCGCGACGCGCCACACGAACTTGCTCAGCGCGTCGTCCGTCACCTTGCTCACCGCCGACACGCGGTGGATCTGGCAGAGAATGGAGGGCAGGAAGCCTTCGTACATGAGCGAGTCGCCCACCATCGCGATCACCCTGCACGCCGCACCACGACGCGGAGACACGGAGGGGGGGCGTGGGAAGGGGAGACAGGGTGAGGCAGCGCGGGCTGGCGAGGAACGGCTGCTTCTCACGCGAATCGCAATGCGGCAATGCGGCAGTGCGGCAGTGCGACAGTGCGACAGTGCTGCAGTGCGGCAGTGCGTGGACACAAACGGGTTAGTCCGATGCGGGATGGGAGCAACTCACTTGTTCCGCATTCGCATCAGAAATTCGGCTGGCGAGAATCGTATTGTGCTCCCTCCACAGTTGCGCGGCTTCCATGAGTAGTACTGCACATCCCCGATACAAGCACGATCGAACACGCGTGAGCATAGAAGGAGCCACGTTGAGTAGTAAGGGGAATGTGAACTGGCAGTAAGTGAGACACGAGGGGAGAGGCATGACGAGAGCAGTGCATTGCGGTCGTACCATCCAGTTCGGGTTGAGTTTCCTCTTCGGGTCGAGGCAGTTAGTCGTGGGAGCGACGTCCTGCACAGCCCAGCATCGCAAGTCAACGCCAGTCAATGCAGTCCAACAAGTCAGGACGGTGATAGAGAGCATGCAGCAGGCATCTAGTCGGACACGGCTGACACGACCTGACCCCGTGCGGATCACGGAGCGCGCTGCGAAGAATGGCCAGGCGAGCCGTGCGTCACGCGGTACATTTGCAAAATGTAGTCGCGCGCATTGAGCGGCGGGCAATGCGGCGCACCTTGAGGAAGGGGCACGAGGACATGTCGTAGGCGGGGCGGTTGGCACGGTCCGACACCCACGAGCCGTCGTAGATGTCGCACGTCGACCCCGCCGCCTGCGTCGTCGCCACCTTGCCCTTCGCGACGTTCGTCGACTTCAGCGGATTTTCCGCCGCTGGCGACGGCGGCGGCGGTGCCGCAGAGCTGCTTTCCGGGGACACGTCGCTATTCTGATTGCTGTTGCCGCTGTTGCCGCTGCTGCTACTGCTACTACCGCTGCTGTTTGCACTACCGCTGCTGCCTCTACTGGCGGTGCTGGCGGCGGTGGTGGAGGGCGAGTCGACGGAGAGCAGCGCGGGCATGTCGGCGAGCATGAGCTCCTGCTGGAACGTGTCGTCGCGATCCTTGAGCCCGCCGCTCACGCCCGTGTCGCCTGCGTGGCTGTGGCTCTGCGGGGAAGATATGAGGAGCAGCGCGGACGCGAGAGCTATGCACCGCCATCTGAACGCGTGTGAGGATCTCATTGGCGCAACAATGGCTGATCACGACACGATAGAATTTTTACCAGCCTTGCACCCTATTCCACAGGATGAGAGCTAGGAAGGTCTAGTGGGAGCTATGCGAAGCTCTGGATAGCTGAAGGATGAAAGGACGGCTGTATGATGTGGAGGACAGGAACAGATGCGAGATGCATCGGGGCTAACATGGATTGGAAGTCGTGACTTGGTTTTATTGAGGATGTTCAAGATGCAGCACTTCATTTCGACATGCCACTGAGCGAATTCAAGACTGTTTGGAGAAAGAGGGAATGATGGACCGCCCTGGTTTCGGGTTTCCGATACCTTTCGGCAGTGGTTTTGACACCGCCTTGCTTTGCGCTCGCGTCCGATACCTTCGGTCAGTTATTTACGCTATTGCCCCTTTTCGAGTCCGGAGACTGATATTGTGTTTTATTTATTGGGATATCATAAATTGAATTGTCGTGTCAAATACGAGAAGCTCGGGACAAAAAAAATACCCCTCATGGAGGGCATGCCATTTGGGAGGCATCAACCATAAACACCATGAGGCAAGATGTTTAGGGTTGCTGCCTCCCAAATGGCCAGCCATCCGAGAGGGGTTTATTTTTTCCACTGGCCACTAAACTAAAACCAGGTAAACTTCAGATTTTTTCAGGTAACAGGAAATTGGAAATGTCGAAATCAGCTGCCCCAAGGAATCGGAAGCGAGCGGAGAAGCAAGGCGGTGTCAAAGCCACTTTTGAAAGGAATCAAAAACTTGAAAACAAGGTAATCTATCATTTTCCTGTTAGAGAAACGTACACTAGCGGATCGCACCGCATGTGCGGCTCGGGGAGGGACATTGGTTGGACTGTGTGCGACCAGGCATGAGGCACACACAATCGCACAGGCGAGGCGTCAGGATTGAAAGCTGGGACCGCAACCCATCACAGCACCAACGAGCCTTCGGCAATATATTGGCGGGCTCGAGCAAATAAAATTTCGGGTCGGTGCGAAGGTGTTTTGACGTCGCGAATTGGTCTTCGCGAGAGCTTGCCCGGGCTGCGATGGCACAGACCTTCGAAAAAAAACGTTGTGGGAGGATGTCTCCCGCTCGAGCACAAACGCCAGCATGAAAAGGGTGCTGTGACCACGCGTACAAATTGTACACAAATCTTGTACAGAGTGTACGTATTGTTTAATTGTATTTTACACTTAAGATGTCCACAGTCAGCACAAAATAGTTTTTTTGTGCACCCTTACAGCGCATCTGTCCCGATGGATGTTGCGGAGAGTCCTACTCGCATACTGCTGACCTTCACCGGCCAGCCCTTCCTTCGAACCGCTAACGTGCAATCGTTCCTGCACCCGCCTCCCGCCTCTGCGCCTTTGCGCCTCTATTCTCAGCCCGTTCCGCTCGCCACCTCTGCGCCGAACATAATATGGCTTCTACCTTCCGTCCCCTCTGAATGGCCGCCCAACATAGGCGGAATGAGCGGCGCAGGCGGCGCGGGTTATGAGGGCGTGGCGGCACCTCAAGTTCCCCCACCATGCTACACGTACACGCCGCTTCCGCGCATCGTGGAACTCCGCGCACCCCTCCCCAACTTGCCTATGCCCGCTCATGCCCTTCCCCAATGGACCCCTCACATTTCCGCGGCTGGGAACGATCCTGCCTCATTGCGAGCAATCAGAATCTGCCGCGTGGCAGGCGATGACAGGCGGTCATGGGGTTGTGAGTCTCGGGCAGCAGAAGCGGCCGCTGAGGCGGAAGGCGCCACGACGAGGGCGGACAATGGGGGCATGGCGGAAGGCAGCGGGGGGACGAACACGGATTGGGGGGGAAAGAAGCGGCGGAGGGGGGAGAAAGAGGGAAGCAGGTATGAGTGGGAATCGGTGCCAAGTGGTGGGCAGTGGGGGACGGACAGAGAGGGAGCGGGAAGGGGAAACGGGAGAGGAAGCATGCATGGGGCTGGGGGCAGAGGGCGCGGCGGAAAGAAACGCGCGTGGAAGGCTTCGAAGCGGTACGGAGTGCAGAGAGGGGCGGGGCGGAAAGCGCCCCAGCCGCTGGCGTTCCCAGTCATATGCCCGCTCTGTCCTGACGTGGTGCTGACGTCACTGCCTATGCTACAGTCGCACATGGCGGGACGCAAGCACCAGGCCGCCGATGCTGGGCGCGCGCAGCGGGGGGGCGCGAGGGGGCCCGAGGCGCGGGCTGGGCAGGAGCAGGGGGGCCACGCGCATGACAACCAGGGGCATGGGGGGGAGGGGCATGTGGGGGAGGGGCATTGGGGAGAGGGGCTTGCGGAGAAGGGACATGCTGACAGGCATAGAGGTGAGGGGGGCAGTGGCGCAGTGAATGGGGAAGATGGAGAGGGGGGTGTGGGTGGCATGGGGGGAGTGCAAGGGGAAACGGGGTTGGAGCACGGGGAACATGGCGGGTATGGGGGACAGGGGGGGCATGGGGGGCATGGCGGGTATGGGGTGCATGGGGTGCATGGGGTGCATGTGACGCGATGGGCGTGGGGAAGGGAGTGGCAACAGGAGGAGAAACCACACGTGGGAGAGTGGCGTGATGGGGGAGTGAAGAAAGAGCTGACGGTTGAGATCATCGACCTGGAGGAGGATGAGAACGAGGAGGAGGAGGAAGTGGAGATTTTGGAGTTGGATGAGAGTGACAAGGACGAGGTGAAAGAGGAGGGGAGTGATGAATTCCCACGGCAGGGGAAGAGAGCAAGGGCCATGGGGTGGGTGAGTGAGGGGCCACCGTTTGTGGGGGGGTGGTGTGCGGTGTGTGGCGCGACGTGTTTGAATGAGAGCAACTACAAGTTCCACCTCAAAGGCAAACGCCACCGCTCCGCCCGCGCTGCCTCTCACACAGCCGCTGCTGCTGCGGCTGCTGCTCCTGTACCATGATGCCATGATGCCATGATGCCTGCAGCGCAGCGCCTGCAGCTGCTGTGACATGGTAGTTACTTGAAGGGATTCCAAGGGGCTGCAACCATTGAGAGTTGATGTTGCTGCTGCTGCTACTGTTGTTGGTGTTGCTGTGTTAGTTTGCCGCTTTTGTTGTTACAGTATTTGTTGTTGTTGGGCTGAGAAAAGCCCTTAGGATCTTTGCAGGACTAAATTCTGAGTAGAATGATGTAATAGCGGAAGCGTTGAATAAGAATCTTGTGAACCACCTTGCGCTAGTAAGTGAGGGCAAAGTAGATTAATTAAAACAAAGAGATACAAGCTTTTATAAGAGTACAAGGAATATGAAGAGATATAGTTAATAACCGTTTTACTGTTGCTGTTGCGGTTCGATACAGTGACGACTCGGGCAACTGCTCAGTAGCGAGTCAGTTGTTTGTCCTTGCTGTCGCGCTGTATTTGTCAGGTCAAAGGTCGCTGACCTTTGACTTTCGCGTAACCTCCAGCAGTTGTTCAACCTCTGAGGGTTGACTCGCTAATGCTTCGATATGTTTTGTCTCGCTTTCTGTCTTGGTGTTTCGACACGACAGAGGCGTTAAATCAATTGTTTCCAACACTCCCCTTCGCTTCTGGAGTGTCGCTGCTGGTGACGTGGCTTTGTCCAGTCAGCAGCATGCAGTACTCGAACTTCTGCTTCCCGAGCTTCTTGGTCAAGTAATCAGCTGCCATCTCGGACGTGGGACAGTAAGACAGCTCAAGTCTCCCCTTCTCAATCTCGTCCTTTACGAAGAAATATCGCAGGGCGATATGCTTCGTCCTGTTCGCGAATCCGTTTTTGTTGGCTATGCGAATTGCCGACTGGTTGTCGCAGAACAAGGAGAAGCTGGGTAACTGAGCCAGCTTCGCCTCCTCCAGAAGTTCGCGAAGGTACAGTCCTTCCTTGGTGGCTGAGCAGAGTGCGATATATTCAGCTTCAGCTGAGGAGAGAGCGATTGATTCCTGTTTGCTCGACTGCCAGGAGATAGGTCCGATAGGCTCGAAGAGATAGATGTAGCCGGTGCGTGAGCGTCTGTTGTCGGAGTCGTCGGCGTGATCGGCGTCGACGTAGCCGATTAGTTTAGGTGTCGTAGTCCCGTTCTCGTGGTAGGTTAGACCGACGGTTGAAGTGCTGACAAGGTAGTGGAGAGCACGGTCGAGTTCCGCCATGTGCTCTGCTTCAGGTTTCTTGAGGTAGGTCGCGAGCTGACTTGCGGAGTACGATAGGTCCGGACGGCAAGTGACAGCTGCGAAGAGGAGGCATCCCAGCTTTCTCTGGTAGTCGCGTATGCCGGCGGATTTCAGTGGAGCGGATCCTTCCTTGTTGTTTCCTGCCGTGTAGCGGTATGGCGTAGAGATGGTGGTTGGCGTGAGAGCGAAGCGTTTAGCGATGGTGTCGGCATATTTTGCGGCGTTGAGGTAGATCGCGTATTCGTCTTCCTGGATGTTGAGGCCGAGATACTGCGTGACAGTAGACGAGACTGTGAGCGTGAGATCCCTCTGTAGTTCCCCTTCGAACCAGGTGGTGACATTGTTGGTTGAGGCGATGTAGAGTAAATCGTCCACATAGACGATCAGTAGGATGTAGTCGGTGCCCTTTGTGAGCCGATACATGCCCTGGTCGTGAGGTAGTTGGCGGAATCCAATGCGAGTAAGTCTTGCGTGTAGATACTGCTGCCACAGCCTTGGAGCTTGTTTGATGCCGTACAGGGATTTTTGCAGCTGACAGACTTGATTAGGTTCTCCGTGGGAGCCATGTGGGAGTTCGACGAAAATTTCGGCGTCAACATGTGCGTAAAGGAATGCGTTGGCGACGTCGATTTGCCGCAGTTTCGTTTTCTTCATGGCGGCGATCGCAAGGAGAATTCGTAGTGAAGTGTGTCGGCTGACCGGGGCGAATGTCTCGGTGAAGTCGCGTCCGTGCTCTTGGTCGAAGCCGCGTACGACCCAACGCGCCTTAAACTTGTCGATGGTGCCGTCTGCTTTTGTTTTCACACGGAAGACCCACTTCCCGGTGAGTATTGTCTTGTTTCGTGCTACGCCGATAGGGACGACTTTCCAGGTGTTGCGTTCCTCCAGTGCTTTCAGTTCCTTGTCCATGGCTTCACGCCATTTTTCCTTATGCTCCCCCCCCCAGAGCCTGCTGAACTGTGGCAGGCTCCTTAGGAATCGCCGTGCCGTGGACCGCGGTGACGAGGCCGAGTATCTGGAGGCCACTCTGTGTGTAGCGGGGGAGAGTTGTGTCCGCGGGATAAGCTGCTTCGTCACCTGCTTCTGGGTCAGGTATGAAATTGGGCCCTATGCGTTCTGCTTCGTTGGTGTTAACTTCTGCAGGTGTAACGTAACCGGTGTCGGCGAAGTGGTAAAAGACGTCGGCGTTGGCGCTTTCGCGAGGATTTTCGTCATCCATTGGGACATCGACGGAGCAGTAAGGGAGAGGTCCGGCTTCCTCCGAGGCTTCATCCACGTTCTGCTCGTCCCAGTCAGCTTCGTCTGCTGCCGAGGCGAAGGCTCGGTCGCCACGGAAGCCGCCTGTAGGGTCCCGGTCTTCTTCCAGGTTGGCAAGATACGTCGGAAGGGTGAGTCGTTCGTAGAAAATGACATCACGTGCTGAAACTGTTTCTTTGGAGTGGACGTCGAAAATCTTCCACGCGTTGTAATTTCTTTCGATGCCCAGGTGTAGTCCCCACTGTGCGCGTTGAGAAAATCGGCCGGCTCGTGCAGATGGGGGTCGGTACTGTACCATGCAGCCGAAAACTCTTAACAATTTTGTGCTGCCCTGTTTTTCTGTCCACAGCAGGTGCGGTGATGCACTGTTCGGTAGTGATGACGACGAAAGCAAGTTGTGCAGCATGACGGCGTTGTCCATCGCTTCAGGCCACTGGTGATTGGGCAGTCGCATGCCACGCAGTAATTTGCGCATGGTGTTCTGGAGAGTTCGATTCATCCGTTCTACCACGCCTTGCTGTTGATGGGCGTAGGGAAGCGAGATGAGCTTCTTGATTCCTCTTTCTGCCAAGTACTGCTTGAACCTCTGTGAGGTATATTCTCCTCCGTCTGACTGAAAGCTTTTTAGCTTCACGCCTCATTCTCGTTCTGCTACTGGGAGCCAAGCAACAAAGGCCTCGAAAGCCATGTCCTTGCTCGGAAGGTTAAGGTGCCAAACGTAACGCGTAGCGGCATCGATGAACGTGATGGTGTAGATGTATGCTCCTTGTCCAGGTTCGCGATTGTACAGGATGTCGCTGTACACTTTCTCAAGTGGTGCGTAAGTTGGCGCGCTGGGGTTGTGGTGAGAAGTGAAAGGCCGATGTGGTAAGTCAGCTTCGGGGCAGGTAAAGCACGTTCCACGAGCTCGTCGAAGTTCGCTTCCATCGGTTAGGAGCAGTGAATCTTTGTCGAGTACTCCTGCTCTGATTGTGTTGTTTAACACCGTGTTACTTGGATGTCCCATTCGTGCGTGCCAGATGTCTTCGCCAGCTCGATGTCCGGGTGAACGACGGTACAAGTCGGAGTTGGAGTAGAAGCTTGCGGTGAAGTTTGCGCTTCGATGTACTACTCGTGATGTTGGGTTAAGCTGCTGCGCAGGAGTCGGTGGAGTGTTGTTGATTTGAGCCGATGCAGTTGAAGGACCAACGATTGGTGTCGATGTTGCTGCTGCTGCTGCCGTTGTCTCTGCTGCTGTCGATGTTGTCTCTGCTGCTGCCGATGTTGTCTCTTCTGCCGATGTTGTCTCTGCTGCTGCCGATGTTGTCTCTGATGCTGTCGATGTTGTCTTTGCTGCTGCCGAGTGTTGAATTGTTGCTAATGCTCTTGTTCGTTCTGTCTCAGGGATGGTGTGCGAGTACCAGAAGCCTTCTGGACTGAAGTCGGGGTCGAGATCCGGTGGATGTGTCCAGGAGGTGAAGGTGACAATCCCGTCGCTGTCAGCGGTGCCAAGATCTGGGACGAAGTCGAGGACGAAGACGTTGTTTTTTAGGACCGCCTTCCCGATGTAGAGACCGCCTTTCCCGTTATATAACTTGAACTCCTGAGTGGTGCTATCTGCTTCGAGGTGTACGCCCTTCGCCATCAGTTGACTGACGCTCAGTAGGTTGTAACCGAGCCCTTCTGCTATTAAAACCTTTGACATATGCAGTATGACGTTTGTCTCTCGTGACTGAAGTTGCACTACGCCTTGTCGTCGTGTGCGCAGGTTCTGATTGTTGGCGACAGTGATGACGACCTCGTGTTCAAGTTTGTGTTCGCGTTGAACAAAGCATCCTGAAGAGCACATGTGTTGTCCGCAGCAACTATCCAAGAACCAGGTATCCTTCCCAGACGGTTCGCTTTGGGCGATGGCTGCGTACGTTGGGTTCGGTTGCAGAGATTCTCGACGTGGAGTCCTTTCGTCGAGTTGTTCTTCCGGTGAGTAGTGCGGCGGCGATTCAGTAATGCAGGAGTCGGTCAATTTTGCCATGCAGCTGACGATATCCCTTGTTACTTGTGCAGGTTGTCCCGTCGACTTTGTTGACGTTTGAACTTGAGTAGTGGGATTTGCTTGCGTTGAGGCGACTTGACTGCTTGAAGGTCGAAGCTGCCGTTGCGTTGGTGCTGACAGTTGTCGGTTAGGGCAGTGTGTGCGAGGATGTCCTGACGTCTTGCAGAGATGACAAAACGGAGGTACGGGTTGTTGACTTTGGTACTTGTGTTGCCGATGGTTGTTGTTGTTGTAGCGTCGTTGAGTGTGAAAAGCGAACTCGGACACTGACGTCTTCCTCTTGTGTTTTTCTTCTTGTAGGTCCATGTCTTGCTGTTCGGCGTGAATTTCAGCGCACAATGCTGCTTCGGAGATCTTCCCATGAGCTCGGAGTATGGCGCGAGTGGAGCGCCAATGAGGACCAAGACCGCCAATAACGACTGTGACGAAGGCGTCTTCTGATATCGACCCTCCGCATCGAAGGAGTTTGTCGCGCAATTCGCGACATCGGCTGATATACGCCATCCCTTTTTCGCCTGGTTTCATTTCCACTGTTGTCAGTTGTGCCATTAACCGACTCTGATTGACGCTGTCTGTTGCCTGATACAGGTTCTTCAGGTGATTGTACGCGAGCTCGGCGGAGTTTCCGTATCCTCGGTAAGACCGAATGTTATGCTGCTGGTTCGGTGTGACGTTGCGCAGTAGGATTGTATGCGCCATCATAGATTGATACGTATACTGTGTTAGAATCTTAGGCGAGAATGATTGACTAGGAAGCAAGGAAGGGTACAAGTAGAATGTCGAGAGAATTCTGTACCCCCTAAGGCTAAACCCACTATAGCCTAGACAAATGTAAACACATGAACTAAGCCTAGATATAACTAAGCATATATGTTTGACATACTGCTGTTTGTCGTATTGCGTGCCGTTTGTTGGATATGGCAGGGACCCATCGAAGAAGCCAAGAATCTGCGCGCCTTCCATCATCAGTTCGAATTTGAATGACCAGGTAAAGAAGTCCTTTCCGTTGAATGGTCTTGACGTCTGTAGTTTTAAAACGTGCGCAAACTGCGACTGAACTTGAAGTGCATCTAGCGTCTTCTCTTGCTCAGGTGAAGGCTGCTGGCGCGGCATGAAGCTGACGGAGCCGCGCTGAGGTTCGTACGGGGTGAAGATAGGTTGTTGCTAATTTCCTCGTGCGTAGGATGAACCGTCGAGGCTCATCGGTGTTGCGTTGTTGTTGTTGCTGTTGTTTGACTGTGCAGGTGCCCCTTGCTGGTGTTGTTCGTAGAAGGACATGAAGGAGAAGAATTTCTCCATCATGTCTGGGTCGAAGGCCGTGTCGAGAGTAAAGGGAAAAAGTTGGTGCACTATCGAGAAAGTTGGGTACAAGTAACAAAAAACTATACCCTACATTAGCTACCCCACTAAAGCCTACATTCTATTATGACATAGGCATATAATTTGACAGGCCGCAGCTTGATTTGCAGGAGTTTCTGAAGACGTTGCCCTTGGTCTTGTTGCCGTACCCTCCTCTGTCTGTAGGCCAGAGGCAGGAGGTGGAGTAGGAGTAATACCGGGAGAGCCGTTAGAGGAGCTTCTCTCCTTCTGCGTTGCCATGCCTTGTGATGTTGTGGGTGTCTTGATTGTAGTTGAATTTGTCCTGATAGCTCTCATACCATGTTGGGCTGAGAAAAGCCATTAGGATCTTTGCAGGACTAAATTCTGAGTAGAATGATGTAATAGCGGAAGCGTTGAATAAGAATCTTGTGAACCACCTTGCGCTAGTATGTGAGGGCAAAGTAGATTAATTAAAACAAAGAGATACAAGATTTTATAAGAGTACAAGGAATATGAAGAGATATAGTTAATAACCGTTTTACTGTTGCTGTTCCGGTTCGATACAGTGACGACTCGGGCAACTGCTCAGTAGCGAGTCAGTTGTTTGTCCTTGCTGTCGCGCTGTATTTGTCAGGTCAAAGGTCGCTGACCTTTGACTTTCGCGTAACCTCCAGCAGTTGTTCAACCTCCGAGGGTTGACTCGCTAATGCTTCGATATGTTTTGTCTCGCTTTCTGTCTTGGTGTTTCGACACGACAGAGGCGTTAAATCAATTGTTTCCAACAGTTGTTGTACCGGTAGTTGCTGCTTTCAGCCTATTAGTGCCCCGTGGCCGTGCCCCACCAACTCGTTGCATGGGCAGCGACACCCAAATGAGCCCAACTTGCCTTTTGCGTGCCCCAGCGGCCATCAGTATGGTCGCTGGCTCGCTGAGGAGCTCCAGCAGGACTCGCTCAATGCATCTTTGCCTTGGGGTAGGATATTGAAACGAGTACTGGCATGAAACACAAAAAACAAGGCAAGAACTGGATCTAGGTTAGCAACTGGAGCGGTGGCTGGATCAACACCCGTAAATACCAAAGCAGCAGCTCCCATCCCATCGGCCCCAGCATCATGCTCCAGTCCACGTTGACAGCTGAGCTGACCCACCCTGTGCCACCTGTTGGGTACTGACAAAGACACTGCCTTACACGTGCTGCAGTGCATACGGTATGCTGAGCAGCCATGCCAAGGCATGCGTGGTGTGCAGCAGCATGGGTGGCATGACTCGTCACTCATGCATGACCTTGTTGTCACCATCCACAGCGCCTGCCAGCACGGCAGGCAGCAGCACAGCTGGGAGAGGGGGTGTAAGCCTGTGCGCGAAGGTGGGCAAGGGTGGGAGTGGGCAAGCATGCAGTGGAGGCAGGCAGCCCCCACGGCCTCAAGAGCAGGTGCATGTGCTCGTACACACCGCGTGGCAGGGACTGCAATGGGTGCTGCCCATATGAGCGCAGCCTGTTGCACTGGGATGGGTGGGGGGACAGGGGAAGAGCAGCATATGGGCAATGGGGGTCGGACCGGGGTGGGAGGAGGGGGGCATTGTGTTGTGCGTTGGTGTCTTGGCCAGGGGGGTGCAGTGCAGGTGCAGGTCCCATGCGGTGGAGTGAGCCGGGGTGGAATGGCCAAGGTGAGAGCAATGCCTCGCAACCACCGCAAGCTCTCGCCTTTCCCACTTCCCCCCCACTCACTACTGTCCTGCCACCATGACCATATGAGAGCCGGATCTAATCCACAGCTGCTTGCAGTATCATACCGTATTCTCCCTAACAAAACACCCCCCCATAATTGTACACCCCCGGGTAGCTTGTGCGGGGTGGGTGTTATGGGGAGCCTCGTTTCTACTATACCCCCCTTTTTGCCTGATTCTCTATAAGACCCGGGGGGGGGGTGTTATGGGCGGCAAAAATACTGAATTTGCTTACTGTACATTGCATACAGGGTACTTTACAGGTACCGGTACTACAGAAGTAATGTGCCAGCACATAGGCATCGACAATGTCACCTAGACTGCAGAAACATCACCACAAGAGCACCTCACATCCACAATTTCACCTAAAAAAACTCTATACAAAGTGCCTTCTACTCAGAATCGTCTCCTGCATGCCATTCTTCACAGTCTTCCCCGTCAAAGCGGCCAGGGCGCCACCATTCGTCATCGCTGGGCTCTTCTGCCTCCCCGCCTTCCTCAAGCACGCCCCCCTCCTCCTCTGCCGCCGCCGCTTCCGCGTCCTCCTCAGCGGCGTCAGCCTCCTCTGCCGCCGCCTGCAGCACCTCGGCCGGCATGGGGACTTCGGCGTAGAAGGGGTTGACGACGAGCTCGTCGTCAACCAGGTCGTTGACGTCGTCAAGGACTTCCACCTCACCCTTGTCCCGCATGTGGGCAAGGATGAGGTGGTCCTCGCTGCCATCGATGGGGGTGGAGATCCCACACATGACGAACGCCTTCTTCACGAGCTCCTCTGGGATTGCTTCCCAGGACTCATCGATCCAGCGGAGCACCAACTCCGCTGGCGGCTTCTTGAGATTGCCTGAGGGACGGGGAAGGGTAGACAAGGACGAATGTGAATTTCCAGAGCGTAAGCTGACATTGATTAAAAGTCACGCATGCGAATGTCATGGTTCAACTCACCGCCCTTGGTGGTGGTGTTGATTCCTTCTTCTTCGAACCAGCTGCTGTAGCGATGACGCACACCGCACTTGAACGCGCGGTTTATCGACACATCCAGAGGCTGCACTAGCGGGGTGCAGCCCCCTGGGATGACAGCCCGTGACAGCCGAAACATCCGCATGGTCTGCCCGACCGCCTCAGTCAAGTGGCCGCGGTAGGAGTCGAGCACAACCAAGGCCTCCCTGCGGCGTCCAGTTGATTCACGCAAGGGCTTCAAAAACGGCACCATCACCTGGGTGATCCAGTCCTGCACAAGTGATTCGTCCATCCACCCTTTGTCTTGTGCACGGACCACCACACCTGCCAAAGAATACCGGTACGTCAGGGTCAAATTCGGTTGCGACTGTTGACAGGCTAGAGTAGTGACATCATCCTAAACGTGCTACGCTTACCGGCAGGGATGGGCACCTTCGGTATGGTCTTGCGCTTGAATACCACGTACGGCGGCAGCTTGAGCCTGCTCGCAGTTACTGCCAGCATGACAGTAACACGCTCCTTCTCATAGCCCGCACTCCGTACGTGAACCGTCCGCGCTCCCTTCATTTCGAGCGTGCGCTCCGCCGGCATCTCCAGGAAAAGCGGGGTTTGGTCCGCGTTCAAGATGAGGTCAAGCGGGTAGTAATGCAGAGAGCGCATCTGGCGCACAAACTCCCAGAAGGAATCCACCTTGGCCTTGCAATCTGCAAGCAAAGCCACGAGACACATTAGCTCAGCACTGAGATGGCAATCAAGGAGCACGACGGCGCAACACTTACCCGCTGCCAACTTCTGTCCCATCTTCGTCTTCACCCGCCTTGCCAGATGCCAGCGCGCGCGGAAACGAGTCGCCCAGCGGAACGATGCGCGCCAGTTGACCCCGGGCATCCGGTGCTTCATGTACTTGACGCTCCACTTCTGGAGCATGCTGACCGAAACGGCGAGCCCCCTCCCCCTGTGCTTGAGGAATTGGCGGTAGACCGCCCGTTCCATGAAAGGGAACTTGGACTTGCGGCCAGCTCCCATGAGGCGACGACGGCAGCTGGAAGAGACCTCCAGCCGCTCCCTCATCTTCTTCCAATCGCGGATCTGGCATGGCTGCACCTTCGCGAGCTTCGCCAGGGCGCGATTCGACAGGTCGGGCTGCGAGTCCGGCATCTTCAACCAGTGGAGCTTCTCCTTCGCGGTGATTCCCTTGCGCTGGCGTTTCGTCATGCGATGGCGAGGGGATGGCGGGTCAGCATCGGCGTTGCGCTTCTGCTGTCCCTGCGGGCGGTTCCGCTCCGGGAACGTGGGGACAACCACTCGAGGAAGGGTAGGGCGAGGACGGTCCAAGCTACTGCTCGGTTCATCCCTGGTAGAAGCACTACCGGGAGCATCCGGCTGAGGAAAGATCGGGCGAGGAGACGTCCGTGCGCGTGCATAAGCGCTAGTCTGATTGGTGGAAACAGGCCGCTGCCGCCTATCTACCGTACTGCTAGAATCTGGAGATGAAGCCATGCTTGGGAACTAAGGCAGGTCGATGTCACTCGCCATGGGAGAAATGACTTTAAAGACGATACCCTCGTGCACAGGAAGGAGACGCTCTCACAGCCTGCCGAGCACTTGTCAAAGACGTGCACTGGAACCGCTTGACGAAGAGAAGAGCAAGCTTGGGTGAGGAAGCTTGGACATGACTACCGTACACGGCAGTCAAGGGGTCACAGGTACAGTGACAACACAGCACCGTGCGCGATTCCGGCCTCGTACTGCATGAACCCAAGCTGCGCGAGGTTGGCACTGATGTCAACCAATGAGGTGGCACAGTGGGCCCACTGGAATTTGCCATGTGGCAGATTCCAGTGGAGGCCGACGTTATCCTCGTAGACGCGGTTTGGCGGCCCTGATTTTAAAAATAATAACAAGGCCAGACCCCTGTTTTTGTTTCCATTCATTTCTGCTTATAAAAAAATGTGCAATATAATAAGACCCGGGTATTATGTATTTTTTTCCTATGAGGAGACCCCCCCCATTTTTTCCCTGTATTTTTAGCTATACCCTAGGGTGTTATGTCCGGGAGAATACGGTATCACTGTGCCGTATCACCCACACGTGGTCCTATCTATCTTGTGTATAGAGAGGCTCTATTAGCCTGCCATAACAAGAAAAGCCTTCATCTTGTCGATTATTCTAGCAGAAGCAACAATGCAATGGTTGGCTCCTGTTTTCCCTGGCTACTTGAAAAAACCTGGAACGAGCTACATTAGAGCAACAACTGAGCTACAGCAGAGGCACTGCAGAGCTACACAGAGGTACAGAAGCTACAAATCTATATACCCCAGGCAAGAGGCATTCAAGAGCTACATGGTGCAGGCAGGCAGCAGCACAGCGACCATCACCTGCTTCTTTGCACATCTCACCCCCCCAGCACGGCCCGCTCTTTGCACATCTCACCTCCCCACCTGCTCACGGCTCTCCGCCATCCCCCACGCTCTCATCACTTGACCCACCATCTTGTCCACCTCCGTCCTCTCCTCCTTCCCCATCGCTTCCACCACTTCCCCCAGTGCTGCGCGCACTTCAGGGGTCGGGGGGACGCAGGCGAGGGGAGGGAGCCAGAGGCGAAGGAAGAGGAGGCGCGTGGGGGAGGAGGGGGGGAGGGAGGGGAGGAGGCGCAGGGCGGGGAGCAGCACTGGGGGGATGAAGGCGGCCAGGGGCGGCGGGAAGGGACTGGTGGATGCGGGGGAGGCGAGATAGGGGGAGCAGGCGGGGGAGGGGTGGGGGGACGGGAGGGCAGGGGAGTGCGAGGGTGAGGGCGAGAGGGGGATGGGGCGGGAGGCGGAGAGGAGGGCGGGGAGGTGTGCGTCACAAGCAAGCCATGCAGTCACGTGGTCTTGCAGGCCCATGCCCCCCATGGCGCCCACCATGCGCCCCACCTGCTGCACCGCCCCCTCATACTCCGCCTCCGCCCTCTCCCGCTCCCCACCTCCGCCCTCCCCCGTGCCACACTCTGGCGGACTGCCCGTGCTTGGGGGTGAGGCGCGCCCCTCGGCGGCGTGGGCATGCAGGAGGGCAGCGGCGGCGGTCTTGACGTGGCTGACGAGGCTGTGGAATCGCGCCACCACCAGGCGCCGCGTCATCTCCTCACGCACTTCCTGCCCCTCCTCCTCAGTCCCTTCCCCACTTCCTGCCCCATCTTCCGCCTCTTCACCCTTTTCCCCCTCCTGCGCCACCTCCTTCCCCCCTGCTGCCCCCTCCTCCGCCTCCTCCCTACCTGCTGCCCCCTCCGCCTCTTCCCCCTCTAGCCCCTCCGCCGTTGCCACTCGCTCTCCCTCCCCCGGGCTGCAGCCCTCATCTGCCGCCTCCTCTCGTGCGCGCTCTTCCTCCGCCTCCACGCCGTGCTGCTCCACCTTGATCTCTGCAATGCACCCCTCCTTCCCCTCCGCTGCACGCGGATCTCCCCCCTCGCCCTCCCCCTCATCTGCAGCCCTCCTCTCCCGCCTCCCCCCCGTCGTCCGCCCGCCAGTACCTCCGCCCCTGGCGCCCCTCTCGGCCCCCGCCTTGCTGTTTCTCTTCCCAGGCTCCGCTGCCCCCCCTGCGCCCGCCTTCGCAGTCGCGCTGCCCCACAATTCCCGCCTTCCGCTCGCCTTCGCCCACGCGCCTCCGCCTCCTGCCTTCGCTGCACCGCCGCCGCCGCTGCTGTTGCCCGCTCGGCTGCCAGCAGCGACAGGCGCCTTGGCAGCCCGTGCCGGCGCAGCAGCGACGGCGGCAGCAGCAGGGGCTGTGGAGACCCGGACAGGGCTGGCAGAGGAAGGCAGGGCGGCACACGCGGGCGAGGCGTCAGTGGCTGTGGACGCGTCAACCGCCGTGCTGCTGCTCACTCCCGTCCCTTCGTCTACTTCCTTCGTCGTCTCTGCTGCCTCTGCGTCCTCCTTTGCCGTTGATTCTTTTGTTGCCTCTACTCCAACCGCCTCTACAGTTTCCGCCTCTGCTGTTTCCGTCGCTACTGTTTCCGCCGCTACTGTTTCCGCCTCTGCTGCTTCCGCCGCTGCTGCCTCCGCCGCTGCTGCTTCCGCCTCGGCTGCTTCCGCCTCGGCTGCTTCCGCCTCGGCTGTTTCCGCCTCGGCTGTTTCCGCCTGTGTTGCTTCCGCTTCTGTTCCCTCCCCACCTGTGCCCGCATCCCTCCGTGCTTCCGCCTCAGCCCGCCCCGCCCGTTCCATCTCCCTCCCCTCGCTGCAGCCCCGCACATCCTGCTCGTTCCGCTCCGCTTCTTGCTTTTCCGCACTGCCCTCTGGTTCTGCCATCTCCCCCCTACCAACGTCCCCAGCTCCCTCCGCTGACTTGTCTCCGCCAGGCGCAACTGTGTCCTCCGCCCCTCTCTCTTGCCTACCCCCTGGTTCCCCGGCCGCCGGCCTTACAGCACCCACACTCCGCTGCTCGTCTTCTATTCCCGCGCCCTCATTCCTCCCGACCTCGTCTGTCGCTTCCTTCACTCGCTCTCCTCTGCCTGGCTGCGCGGCCTCTGCGGGTAGCAGCGCATCGGGGGTCATTGGCGCGACGGGCGCGCCTGCCTCGCGCGCCAGCTGCAGCAAGTAGGGCGTGCAGGAGGGGGTTCTTCGGGGAGTCGCGCCTCCCGCCTGCTCGCCCGACTTTCCGCCGGCAGCAGCGGCGGCACTGGCGGCGAACAACGCGGAGCCGCCAGACGAGCGGAGGTCGGTGGAGCGCGGAAAGGCGGGTAGGCGCGAAGGCAGGCAGGCGCGGTGCCCGGGGCAGGCGTGCACGCAGGCATGGTTGCGCGGCGGGGAGGCGGGGAGCGCGAGGGGGAAGGGGAAGGGGATGGTGGTGAGGCCGGGCGTGGCGTCGACGACGACGAGCGTGAGAAGACACGCGAACAGCAGCAGCACGTACTGCGCCGCCAGGAACCACAGCGGCTCCACGCCTGCCAGAGAAAGGCATGCGGATGTGTAGGGGCAACGGGGATAGGAGTCAAAGGGCGCACATGGAAGGTGCAGCAAATGCAGTGGATGGGGCAGGCGGGAAGACAAGCGGGGTGCGGGCGGTACCAGGGAAGAGCGGCTGGCGGACGGACTCGGTGAAGAAGCCGAGCGACGTGAACGCGACGGCGGAGATGGCGGCGTGCCCGACCACGTGCGCATCGCACATCAGCACGAAGTCCGCCGTCGCCGTGCGCAGCACCCTAGCGCCGCCGTACCTGGCGGGGCAAGAGGCCGTGGGGACATGGGGGCAAGGCTGATGAGGGCATGGGCGGCACTGCTCCGCGGGAGCGATGCGGGGGCTAGCAACCACGAGTTTCCGCGTGCCTTGTGCGGCTACCCGGGGGATTCATGCATGACAAGTGCTCCGCGGAGCTGCCTCGGGCCAGCCCGAAGGCACTGGGGAAGCAAGGCAGTGAGGAAGCAAACGCGCATGACTCACCGCGGCGAGTTGGGCGGGAGGCGCTTGAGGAAAGCGAGGAGCGTGGAGGCGAGGAGGCACCAGATGAGCGCCACCGTGATCGCCGTCTTGCGACTCGCCGCGTCCCCCGCGCACGACGCCAACACCTGCGCGTACCCCGCACGGGCAGACGCACGAGGCGACAGCGAGGGATGGAGGGAGAGGAGTGGCGGCAGGAGAAAGTGATGAGATGGACAGGGCAGCGAAGGAGGAAGTAAGCGACGGGCAAGAAAACGAAGAAAGGAAAGAGCGAGAGGTGGGAGGAACGGGAGCAGGGAGGGCGCGGAGCGGGACGCACGAAGGCGAAGTTGAGGACGAGCAGCGAGCCGAAGGGGAAGTACTTGGAGAGGCGCGCCGGGAAAAAACACTGCGTGCCGTCCGTCACACCCGCGGCCCTCGCTGCGCCCCGCCCCCGCTGTCGCTGCGCATGCGCCGGGCCTGCCATGCCGAGGAGGGAATGAGATGAATGGCGAGGCGGGGATGGAGGGGGTTGAGTCAGCCCAAGCGGTTAACCGCGGATTGTGAGACGCGTGCGCGCGGAGCACGAGAGGGCACCTACCTGCCCATACGAGGCCGCTCTTGCGATTCTCGCGTGGGCTCGTTCCGTCCTCCACTTGTATCCACGCCTCGCCCGCTGCCTCGCCCGACGGCTCTAAGTCCGCCCCCGACATGATCACCCGCGCTTCCTCTCTGCTAGTCGCACTGCTAGTCGCTCTGCTGGTCGCTCTGCTAATCGCACTCTGTTCGCCGCTAATGACGTTCCTGTGTCTACCAATTTGCCTTCGCATTCGCGTTACGAAATGCTCGCTCACACCTGGTTGCCTTGCTCGGCCGCCTTACGCAAATCACCCGCTCAGCTTTGGCAATCCTACCTGCTCCCTTCTCCCCACCTCTTCCTCCCCCTCAGAGCCTATTCTCGGTCATCGTCAAGCAGATTCGATTGGGGAAGACGCGGCTCGGCTCCGTGCATTCAGAATCAACGAACGTGAGTGATGTGAATTCGCCAAGGATGCCAGATTCGGACAAGGCAGGGACGTGCGAGATGAGTTTCGTCCACATGTAGTGTAGTGACTCGTGATACACTGGGCTGGTTTTTGCTATGCATATAATAATAATGGTGACACTGGTTTACTTTTCAAATAACCTCGTTATTGTACTTATCGACCCCAAACAGAAAACGCGACTGCTCGTCATGAGCACTTTTGACTCGTCTGCGCGATTCGATACGTTTCGCTCAACCAGCTGCGACAAACCAAATCTTTGCCATCCCAGCACCATCGCGGGGGATCAGGCAGACAACTGCACATCACCACTTTCGCTTGCGCCGTTTCCGACTTTCACCCGCGCGCTGCCGATTGGGTTGGGTGGGGGGGGGGGTCTCTGCTGTATTCCCCCCCCCACCAGACACCAGGGGGAGCAAAAAACAGGTCGGTGTTGCCCTGCTCGCTTCACATCATTACCGCTTTTTTTCGTGGAAGTTGTAAGCGTCGCATGGAGTCGCACACTCGGCTACGAAGTACGGAGATTAGACATTGGAGCACACTTACCGATGCCATGCGAGCACCGTGTGCGATGAACGAGGCCCACTCACGCAACGATGCGTGCCGGTAGGTGTGCTCCCGTGCTATCGCCCCTCGTTCCTCTTTTTCCACGTGTCGCCACGCCGCCATCGCCTCGCACTCTGCCCGCGCCCACGCCTCCCTCTTCGCCCGTCCTGTGCCCGCCTTCGCGCCGCACCTCCCGCTCGCCACTATGGGCTGCGCTAGTTCCGCGCCCACCGCGAACGCGGCAGCGGGGGAGGTTGGGAATGGCAGCGAGGGCCAGGCGGAGGAGTGGACGCTGTGCGGATGTGGGGGAAATCGGCGCGCTAAGGAGGGGAAGGTGCGGACGCAGGCGGGCGGGGAGAAGAGGCGGAGAACCAGGGAAAACGAGGCGCAGAAAGGGGAGGCATTGAGGGACGGGCGCGCGGTTAAGAACGAGCGGAACGCGGAAGTGATGCGCGGTGGGGACCGAGGCGAGGAGAGGGACGAGGGGAAAGAAGCGCACGAGGGGAGAGTGGGAGGCAAGGTGCGCGCAGAGGGCGGGCAGAATGGCGCGGAGCTTTGCGATGGCACGGGGATGGACGGCGGAGCAGGGGGCGGCACGCTCAAGGTGCGCAGCACTGAGGGGGCTGCGGGCAGGGGGAGGGTGCAGGCAGGGCGCGCTCTGGCCTGGCAACGAGGGAGGCGCGGCGAGGTGGGGGGGAGGGATGCGCGCGGTAGATGGGCGGAGCACGGGGGATTTAGGGATGCGCGGGATGACTGCGGGCGCACTGGATGATGGTGGGGTGTAAGGGGTGGGCAGCGGAATGGTGGATGCGAGGGCGCACGTGGGCGTGCATGTGCACGAGTCCCTTGACATGCGTATCTGTGTGTGTGTGTGTGTGTGTGTGTGTGTGTGTGTGTGTGTGTGTGTGTGTGTGTGTGTGTGTCACTGTGTGCTTTTATCCGTGATTGCAGCAAGCAGAGCAAGCAGCAGCAGGAGGCACCCAGCCCGGGGAGGCAGCGACAGCAGCAGTACAGGGCGCTTCACCAACCACACGGTGCGCCTTCACATGCCACCTCCCCTTCCTCTCTCTGCCTCCCCTGTGCCTGCTACCTTTCACATGCCGCATCATCGCCATAACACGCCACTCCCCTTTATTCACAGCCCCCACCGCCCATCTCCCACGGCCCTCCATTGCAGGAGCGCGCTGCCCCCACGGCCCGCCCAGCTCGCCCAATCCGCGACCAGCATGCAATCCCCCGCCAGGTGCCATACTCCCTTGCCACCACGTGCCATTCCACTTCGCTGCTCCGCTTCCTGCCCATGGCATCTCCTCAATCCCCCCCACGTCATGCTCACTTTCGTGGAGCCCGTGTGTGTGTGTGCGTGGTATGGCATGTGTGCGGCACACGCAGCAGGGTGGGCGTGCTGGCGTTCGAGGTGGCAGCAGCGGTGGTGAGGGCGGGGGTGGTACGGCAGTCAGTGGAGGGCGAGGACGTGGACGAGCTGCGCACGGAGGTGCTGGCCTCCGATGGCATCGCCTTCCTCCTCTCCTCTGACTTCAACCACGTCTGGCAGATTGCCGCCCGGGATAAGTGGTCAGTCTCGCACATTCCTGCTTGCGCTGTCTGCTCTTTGCCGCTTTCCTCGCTGTTTGCATCAATCTCTCGTGCCCAAATCTGCAGCTCATTTGAAATCGTTCCTTTCTGTGCACCCCTACCTTTCCTCTTTCCCCTCCCCCCTCCTACCCACCCACGCCCCTCCCCCCATGGCTGCGGCGTGCAGGGAGGAGGTGGGGCGGCTGGCAGCGAGTGTGGCGCGTCTCGGCTCGCAGTGCACCGACACCGCTCTGCACTCCCTCGCCCTCCGCTTCTCCAGGTCCGCCTGCCACCCGGGTGGCACGCAACACTGTAGCAGGTGCACTGGGGGGCGGGTGGCAGGGGATGCGCAGAGAGCAGTGGTGGTGGGAGGTGGCAGGGCGGCCACAGTACAGCAGCGAGCACATCATCATGGCTGTTACCCCCATTCACAGTCAACCCCGTGCCCCCCCCTGTGCTGTACCTACCCGCCTTGCTCCCCAACGCGGGACCCAATGCCTGCAAGCCATGGATGCTTCTTACACCGCCTTCCACCCCCCCTGCCTATCCCTCGCCCCGAGCCTTGTCCCCCTCTCGCATCCCAGCCTGGCTGCAGCAGTGAGGGAGCGGCAGGGAGGTGGGGGGGAGGAGCAGGGGGGGGCGGAGGAGAGGGAGGAGAGGGAGGAGGGGGAGGCGGTGGACGAGCTGCTGCTGCAGCTGGAGGAGGACGCTCAGATCACCATGGTGAGCCGCTGACGTCACTGGGGTGAGACGCTGACGTGGGCATTGTGAATGCGATGTGCTTTTGTGCATGTTGGTGCATGATGATGCCTTCACTGCCATGTGTTGACATGACATGCCACCACCCATTCCATTCCCACGGGTCAGCCCACCTCATACCCGCTTGCTGACCTCCCATGCCCATGCCCCTCCTCTCCCCTGCCCCTCCTCTCCCATGCCCCTCCTCTCCCATGCCCCTCCTCTCCCATGCCCCTCCTCTCCCCTGCCCCACCCTCTCCCCCGCCCCACCCTCTCCCCTGTCTTGCCGCCATGCATGAGTGCAGGAGCTGAGGCGCGAGGTGCTGCTGCTGGAGGCCATGCGCCGCGACATGGATGGCGCATGCGACACTGGTGCCGATGCTGGTGATCATGGGGGTCATGGTGGTGGTGGTGCAGATTCCAGTGCATGTGTTGAGACTGTGCATTTGAAGAGACCTGCATGTGGGGAGGCATGCCAGTAAAGCGGCATGCATGTGTTGTGTTGTGGCTCTCACATCACATGTGGTGCCGTGTGGTGCGGCGGTGTGTGCAGGGGAGAGGGCAGCGGAGCTGAGGGCACAGAAGGAGCGGGTGCGCGCCATGCAGGAGAGCTCGTTCTGGGACCGCCCACTCAATGAGGTGATGCGCTGCCATGCATGGCGTGGCATGGGATGGGGTGGTACAGCCATGTGGTGTCATGTGTTATGATGTGGGGATCGGCGCATGAGTAATATGAAAGGGATGATGCTCCTATTCGCAACACTGCACCACCAGAACCGTCTGACTGATCCTCTCCACCCAACCCGCCGCCTTGCCCCCATGCAGTTGGTGCGCCAGCTGGTGCGTGTTGTGGACCACCTCATTCGCCTCGTCTCCTCCACCTTCGGGCCACTGCGTGAGTGCATTGTGCATTGCTCTCCTCCCTACCTCACTGCGTCCAACACCACACCCTTCCTCTCTCCATTCTCACACCCTTCCTTTCTCCATTCTCACACCCTTCCTTTCTCCATTCTCACACCCTTCCATCCATCCCATCCCCCCACTCTCCCCCGCAACTCTCCCCCCACACTCTCCTTCACATCTCGCCCCTCTCATCCCCCACATGCCCCCTACGCCCCGCCAGCACCCGACGTCCCTCTGCTGCCCGTGCGAGGGAAGGGTGCACATGCGAAAGGGGGGAGGGACGGGCAGGCGGAGGGGGGGAGGAAGCTCGGGGAGTCGGGCATGGCACTGGCGTATGCGCGGCTCATCATTGCTATCGACCTCCTGGTGAGGCACTGAGGCGCCCGCCGCCTGCTGGATGCCATGAGATGATATGGCATGCCATCCACCTGCTGCTGAGACGGCAGCTGCGCTAGGGATGTGAGCACGACTGGAGATAAGAGGAGTGACTGTGGCGGGTCGTTTGTCTGCTTCATCACTGCACTCGCACTGCCTCCCACGTGTCTTCTCTGATCCCTCTCCCATGGTACCCACTCCTTTCCTCTGCACGTCTGCACCTCTCCCCTTGATCCCTCCCTGCTCTCCCCCACCCCTTCCCCCTTTTGGCGGGAGCAGGTGGGAATGCAGGGGGCGGAGAGCCGGAGGGACTACCTGTACTCGCTGCTGCCACACTCGCTGCGCTGCAAGCTCAAGGGGGCGCTGCTGCAGTCACAACACATCTGCATGGTGGGCAGTCGATAAATTTTCATGTCTAATGTTGTCTCTTCTTTTTCTCGTGCATAGTGTGGTTGTGGCATGCCATGCCATGCTGAGCCATCCCATGCCTGCCATGCCAGCCCTCCACGTGAAACCTGAATGCAGGTCATGCTGCACTCTAAGAGGGCATCCCGTGGGCGTTGAGTCGTCTCTTTGTATTCATGCCATGGCACACGATTGCATCTGGGCTGCGTTGTTGTGGCATGATGTGGTGGGCTGGCATGACATGGATGGCATGTGGGTGGCATTGATGGTATGCGGGTGTGGTGTGCACGCCATGGGTGGCATGGCATGGGTTGCAGGAGAGCACGGAGAGCATAGAGGAGAAGCTGGAGGGCGTGTTGGACTGGCTGGTCACCATGGCAGACAACACCATCAGGTGAATTCAACACCATCAGGTGATTCCAACACCATCAGGTGATTCCAACACCATCAGGTGCCCACAACACCATCAGGTGATCCAGCAACGTCACCCGCATCACTCATTCTCACTCCCATGCCGTTCGCCACTTCCCAACTTGCCCCTCTCTGCCCCCCTCCTCCCCCCCTCCAAGCAGGTACGCCAGTGACGTGCGGGTGCGGGGAGGCAGTGCGCTGAGTCGCCTACAGACGCTACAGCACGTGGAGGAGGCGCGCATGGAGCGCCTCGTGCTGCTGCTGCTCATCGGCCTGCAGCACCTCGCCAGCCGCCAACAGCCCCCCCCTCCCCCCGCCCCCACACACACACCTGCACCTGCCCCCTCCACCGCCCCACCACACGGGGTGGGCGAGGGGGGGAGCGGCAGCAGTGGGGCCGGGCCCAGTGGCAAGTATGCCATGACAGGCGCTGGGGGAGGCACATGGGGCGCTGGCAGGGGTACGGGCAGGGCGGGTGGTGGTGCAGCAGAGAGGAGGGGTAGGGATGCAGGGGAAGAGGGGAGAGAGACGAGAGAAGGGGAGGGGCAGGAGGGTGAGGGGGGGAGCGGCAGTGGCAAGGGGGTGAGCAGGGAGGCAGCAGGCAGTGGGGGGGTTGCTTTACCCGCTACTCCTGGTGGTGGTGGTGGGGTTGGTGGCAGGGAGAGGGGGTGGGCGAGTCACACACGGGTGTGGCACCCCATCCCATGCACCGCCATCAGAGCCCCCTGCCCGCCCCCTGCCGCCCACGTGGCAGCTGACTTGGCCAGTGACGTGGCAGCAATGGAGGGTCACTCGCCAAGCGTGCCTGCAGCAGGGCCAGGCGGCGAGGAGCGAGCCGTGGGGTCGGTTGCAGCACATGCAGCGGTGGGCCCGTGGGGGCAAGAGGCAGCCCGGGGCGATGCAAGCACAGCAGAGGCAGACAGCGGGGCAGTGGCAGCAGAGGCGGCGGGTGGAGCAGAGAGTGGAGCGGAGGGAGCATGCGAAGAGAGTGGTGAGGGCAGGGCGCCGAGCAGCGAGGGGCGCGTGGGCAGCCCCGGTGGCATGCAGGACGTGCCTGCCATCGACCTGCACGCCGCCGCGCTGTCCAGCCACCCGCAGTGGTCACCCGGGTCAGGCAGCGACCCCCCTTCCCCCGCCCCGCTGCCATGGTCGGGGCCGCTGAGCGAGCGCAGCAGCGTGGGGCGCGCGTCACAGGCCAGCAGCCCGGGTGGCGTGGCTTGGAGCGGTGGTGTGCGGCGCACGGGCAGTGCGGAGGGCAGCAGGGAGGGCGAGGGCGTGGAGGAGTGGAGCGTGATCCTGGGGCACTTGTCATCCGCCGCTCGCGGTGCCGTGGGGGGGTTGGGCGGGGTGGGGACAGGGGAGGGTGATGGGGGGATTTCTGTGGAGAATGCAGTGATGGTGGGGAGTGAGGGTGTGGAGAATGTGAGTGTGGGGAGTGTGAGTAGTGGGCGGCGGGAATGGAGGGTGCCACAGAGTGTGCCTGAGGAGGAGGAGGAAGGCGAAGAGGGAGAGGCCAGGGGTAAGGAGGATCAAGGGGAAAGGGAGGAGCAAGTGGGCAGTACAGTTCACAGCGGCGCAGGGGAAGTAGCTCCACCAGCAGCAGAGCCAGCAGTGTTGCCGCCATTGGTGGAATCGGACTCGTGTCCATCTGTCCCTCCTGTATCTCATCTGCCCACCGAGCCTTTCACCCCTGGGTCTCTCATGCCACCATCGCCCTCTGCTGCCATGCCACCGCGCTCCGCCCTGCTAGCCGGTGCAGCACCTGCAGCAGGCAGTGTGGACGACGCCATGCCCGCCACTGTGCTTGCCACCGCCGTTCCCAGCAGCGTGGCAGCAGAAGGGGGCCCGGTGGCGAGGGTGCGGGCGAGGGCCCCGCGGGCGGGGTGGAAGAGCAAGAGCCAGCCGCTGGAGCGACTGGCGGCGCGCATGAAGCAGCGGCAGCAGCGGGCCGCAGGGCAGCTGCAGGAGAGCACAGGCGTGGCGGGCAGAGGGGGCAGCCCCCAGCTGCAGGGCGAAGGGGGAGGCAGGGGGCTGGCAGGGCGACAGTCAGTCTCGCGCACTCTGAGTCGCCTGCAGCAGCAGCATGCCAACAGCCTTACCGCCTCCTCTGCTGGCGGCGCTGCCCTGGGCGCGGACTCCCCCCTCCACGCGCGCGTGCTGCGCCGCGCGCTCACTCCCAACCCCGGCGCTGCTGCTGACGGCAGCCACAGCGGCTGGAGAGGCGTGGGGGGAGGGGGCTGGGGGGCGCGTGGGAGGGGGACATGGGGGTGGGGGTGGAGGGGGAGGAGGAGGAGGCAGACATCGACCGCATCCTGGATGCGCGGCCTGACATGGACATCAGCGCTCTCAGCCCCATGCTCATGCGCTCCCCCTCCTTTGGCCGCCAGCAATACTGGATGGTGTGAGGTGCAGTGCGGTGCTCAGTGGCATGGTCCCGTCTGCTGCGTGCTGTTTTCGCCCACTCATTTATTAGTAGCCCCCATTGGCGTTGACTAAGCTGGGGGCATATCTAGGAGCAGGTTGCGCAGAGAACCATACACAGCTAGGGAGTGCCTTGCCTTCCATGCTGTCACCCCAGTTGATTTGACATCAAAAGTACCACAATTTCACCAGTGTAGTACAAACCCACTGTATTGAATGTTAGCTACTGCACATTACGTAAAGCATGCCGTACCCATGCTTTTATGTTTCTTTCTGGCTGCACACAAGATGCGGTACAAGGCTTGGTATACCGTAACAGTACATGATTGCTGGGTTTGGATGGAAGCATGCATTGCCATCAAGAGTTGCGCAGGCAACTATTGCAGCTCAATTGTCTAATACCGTACCGTACTCAATATATTGCAATAAAGTAAGGTGCCCACATACTGCTTCAATTTCACCCCCCCTTGCTTCCAAACTCCTCAAAGCTCTCAACATCACTGGGGGGGTATGGGTCACAATAACCTTCTGATCAAAAGATCACTCAAAACTTCTGCAAGTGCACAGCTCAGCGCTGTGCCAACATGGCTGATTGGGACTGCGAGAAGAGCCAGCCTCCACTGCCTCGTGACATGGCAGGGGCACAGGTGGAGCGAGAGGCTCGCCAGTCATCCAAGCACTGCATGACACGCCAGTGCAGCCCACTCTCGCTCTACCACAGACCCCAGGCTCGCTTCTTCTTCTCCTTGCCTCCCTCCCCGTCCTCTTTCTTGTCCCCTCCACTCGCCTCCCCCCCTGCCCCACCATCCGCATCCTCCTTGCCCTGCTGGTCTGCCTGCGCCCCCCCATCCCCCTCCTCCCACTCCTCCAACAGCTTCCTCTGCCGCTCCGTCAGCTCCCTGCACGGTCAAGGTGGGATGGGTGGGATGGGTGGGCAGTGCAAGAAGATTGGTGGATGGGCAGTGCAAGAGGATTGGTGGATGGGAGAGGGTGCAAGGTAAGCAGAAAAGCAGAGCCAACAGCAAAGCAGAGACTACGCGGATGTGCGCGCAATGGGGGATGTGAAAAGGAGGGCAATGAGGAAAGTGAGAGGTGAGGCAACCATGGAGGTGAGAGGAGGGGCAGTGAAGGAGGAGGGGAGGGGCTATGAGGGAGGAGCGGAGGGGCGAGTGGGCAGCAGACGCACGTGGGCACGGCAACATTGACGTGCACAAACTGACTCCCCACTCGGCGACTCGTGGCCGATCGCACTCCTGCGCGTGGCCAGAGGGAAAGATAGGGGAGGGACAGTGGGGACGAAATGGGAAAGGAAATGGGGAAGAGAGATGGAGGAGGGGAAACAGGTACGAATGTGAAGTGAAACGGCCATGGGTGCACAGCAAGCAGGAACCTGTGAGTTTGAAGGTAGCAGATTAACGGTGGAGCAGCTGGGCAGATAGGGGGTCAGCAAGGCCAAGGTGACGTGCATTGCAAGGTGGCGCACCTTTATCGCGCAGCTGGAGCACCTGGCCTGGCTGCGTGCCCGGCTTGATCTGCATGCACACCGCATTGGCAGCAAGGCACGTGCGTGGTGGTAAGGGGAAGGCATGCGCATTGCGGCATGAGCAAGGCATGTGCATGGCAAGTGGGTAACAAACTGCGAGTGTGAAAAAAAATTCTTCTAGGTAACGGCAACAGCGTGAAGTCAATGCATTGACCCAAGTGGCATGTAACTACATTACATCAACATGGCATGGATGGCATGGATGGCATGGATGGCATGGATGGCATGGCATGACAGGGCATGGCATGGCATGGCATGACAGGGCATGGCATGGCATGGCATGACAGGGCATGGCATGGCATGGCATGACAGGGCATGAGCAGCAGCACCTTAAGGATGACCTCTCCTGAGAGTGTTGGCACCGGCACTGATGCTCCCAGACACGCCTGGCACGCACACGGGGCCATGGCAAGGGCGATGGCAGGGGCGATGGCAGGGGCGATGGCAGGGGCAATGGCAAGGGCGATGGCAGGGGGGCGTAAGAGGGCCGTGGGAGAGTTGTGGCTTGGAGGCGCAAGCAGGAGAGGAGAGGGGGTACGATGTTCAGACAGGGGACACAAGGGCATGATAGGTAGGGCTGGGAGGATAAGTATGGGAACGAGAAACGGTGCGCACATGATAGGACAGGGAGCATGAGGAGCAGAGGGGGAGGTGGCACCTGGGGGAAGGAGACGTGCAGGTCGACGTGGATGTCGTTGCCGTCCCTCTTGAACACCGAGTCCTCCTCCACCTGGCGCATGGCGCATGGCACACGGGGGATGGAGCATGGGGCATGGCGCACGGGGCATGCGGCACGGGGCAGGGATATGGGGTAAAGGGCAGAGGGACGGGGCAGGGGGACGGGGCATGGTGCAGGGGGGAGTGAGTGGCTGAGGGAGATGACAAACCAGCTGGCAGCACCTGCACAGGACGAAGCTGAATGTTCAGCAGCAGGGCACCTGAATGTTCAGCAGCAGGGCACCTGAATGTTCAACAGAAGGGCACCTGAATGTTTAGCAGCAGGTCCCCAGGTGGCGCCCCCTTCCCCCCTGCGCCTCCCTGCCCCGGCACCCTCAGAGTCACTCCCGAGTCCACCCCTGCTCGCCACCCCACACCCGTGTTGACAATGAGAGAGAAGGGAGGAATGTGAAGAGAGGGGCGGTGGGATGAGGAGCGGAAGGGGTTGTTGGGAAAAGAAGGGTCCGTAGAGACGGAGGATGGAATGGAGTTGCACGAGGATGTGAGCGGTGCAAGGCTGGGAGGCAGGGAGTGGGAGGATGAAAGAGGATGGGCAGGTTTAGCCGGTTGCAGTGCTCCCAGGGAATGGCACATCCTCCCTGCTGCTGCCATCCCATGTGCTCCACCAACCATCTACTCCCACCAACCATCTATTCCCACCAACCATCTATTCCCACCAACCATCTATTCCCACCAACCATCTATTCCCCCACCAACCATCTACTCCCACCAACCATCTACTCCCACCAACCATCTATCCCCACCAACCATCTATTCCCACCAACCATCTATTCCCACCAACCATCTATTCCCACCAACCATCTATTCCCACCAACCATCTATTCCCACCAACCATCTATTCCCACCAACCATCTATTCCCACCAACCATCTATTCCCAACAACCATCTATTTCCACCAACCATCTATTCCCACCAACCATCTATTCCCACCAACTATCTATTCCCACCAACCATCTATTCCCACCAACCATCTATTCCCACCAACCATCTATTCCCACCAACCATCTATTCCCACCAACCATCTATTCCCACCAACCATCTATTCCCACCAACCATCTATTCCCACCAACCATCTATTTCCACCAACCATCTATTCCCACCAACCATCTATTCCCACCAACCATCTATTCCCACCAACCATTTATTCCCACCAACCATCTATTCCCACCAACCATCTATTCCCACCAACCATCTATTCCCACCAACCATCTATTCCCACCAACCATCTATTCCCACCAACCATCAATTCCCACCAACCATCTATTCCCACCAACCATCTATTCCCACCAACCATCTATTCCCACCAACCATCTAGTCCCACCAACCATCAATTCCCACCAACCATCTATTTCCACCAACCATCTATTCCCACCAACCATCTATTCCCACCAACCATCTATTTCCACCAACCATCTAGTCCCACCAACCATCTATTTCCACCAACCATCTATTCCCACCAACCATCTATTCCCCCACCAACCATCTACTCCCACCAACCATCTACTCCCACCAACCATCTATTCCCACCAACCATCTATTCCCACCAACCATCTATTCCCACCAACCATCTATTCCCACCAACCATCTATTCCCACCAACCATCTATTCCCACCAACCATCTAGTCCCACCAACCATCAATTCCCACCAACCATCTATTTCCACCAACCATCTATTCCCACCAACCATCTATTCCCACCAACCATCTATTTCCACCAACCATCTAGTCCCACCAACCATCTATTTCCACCAACCATCTATTTCCACCAACCATCTAGTCCCACCAACCATCTATTTCCACCAACCATCTATTCCCACCAACCATCTATTCCCCCACCAACCATCTACTCCCACCAACCATCTACTCCCACCAACCATCTATTCCCACCAACCATCTATTCCCACCAACCATCTATTCCCACCAACCATCTATTCCCACCAACCATCTATTCCCACCAACCATCTATTCCCACCAACCATCTATTCCCACCAACCATCTATTCCCACCAACCATCTATTCCCACCAACCATCTATTCCCACCAACCATCTATTCCCACCAACCATCTATTCCCACCAACCATCTAGTCCCACCAACCATCAATTCCCACCAACCATCTATTTCCACCAACCATCTATTCCCACCAACCATCTATTCCCACCAACCATCTATTTCCACCAACCATCTAGTCCCACCAACCATCTATTTCCACCAACCATCTATTCCCACCAACCATCTTTTCCCACCAACCATCTATTCCCACCAACCATCTATTCCCACCAACCATCTATTCCCACCAACCATCTATTCCCACCAACCATCTTTTCCCACCAACCATCTTTTCCCACCAACCATCTATTCCCACCAACCATCTATTCCCACCAACCATCTATTCCCACCAACCATCTATTCCCACCAACCATCTATTCCCACCAACCATCTATTCCCACCAACCATCTATTCCCACCAACCCACCTGCTGGTATGGAGACATCCACTTCCCGCCTCTCCTTCACTGTGCCCTCCCCATGACATGTCTTGCACCACTCCTGTTGTGTGCGTGCATGCATACATGATGCCAGGATGCCATAGTGCCATGATGCCATGATGCCGTGATATTATGTGGAACAAGAGGGTACACATGGGAGGACAGAATTAGGGAGGACAAGAGCCAAGCGACAAGGGGTTGAGAAGAATTAAGGATAATGGGAAGGTGAGCAAAGGGAGTGGTACGCAGAAGCGGCACGCAGGCAGCAGTGTGCACACCTTGACAAAGACGCCCTGGCCGCCACAGGAGGAGCACGTCTGCATCACCACTGACGCCCCCATCCGCCGCATCTCCTGCTCCCACCACGTGGGGGGGGGGTGTGGGGGGACACAGGAGAAGTGTGAGTGGAAGAGGGAAGGGCACAGGTGTGCGAGGACGGAGAGGAGATGCGAGGAGAAGGGAAGAGAGGAGAGGGGAGGGGGGAGGGGGTGGGGTACTGACCATGCCTTGGCCCTTGCACGCCTTGCATGGGGTGGGCTGGTACCCCTTGGGCATGCCTGATCCGCCTGCATTCAGAAGGAGAGCGAAGTGGGCGAGCAACACACAGAGGCAGGGGGGGGGCGTGCCGCATTTGAAACGAGTCACAGGTGGATTCACGTGGACATCTAGACTGTTTTGATGCTCACATCAACAGAGAAATTGGGCAGACTGATAACAGAGAGTGCTGTTTCGCATCAGCACAGGCAGGGCAGCAGAGAGCACTCACTGCAGGAGGAGCAGCGCACGGGAGCAGAGAAGGAGAGGTGGCGCGAGCAGCCGTCCACAGCCTCCCTCAGCGTCAGCCTCACCGCCATCTGCACACTCTCGCCGCCCCTCGGCCCCGCCGCCCCCATGCCCATGCCCATACCCATGCCGCCCATGCCGCCCATGCGCCCAAAGATGCCGCCCAGCATCTGGGGGAGCCGGCAAGGGTGGGAGGGGAGCGGGGCAGGTGAACGGAGTAGGGGAGGAGGGGGGCATGGGGGGCAGCAAGTTTGGTGCAAGCATGGGGTGGGAAAATCAGGTGCTGGTGAGGGGATGGACTGCCACTAGCAGCCCCTACTCGCCCCTTGTGACATGCAGCACGGAGCAGTGCAGTGGGGTGCGGTGCAGGGTAGTGCACAGACCTCCTCAAAGTCCGATGGCCCTCCGAAGCCAGAGAATCCGCCGAAGCCCTGAGCGCCCGCCCCTGCGCCTGGTCCCCCAGCTGCTCCCCCTTCAAACGCCTCCGGACCAACCTGGGGCGGCAGGGGGGGGAAGGAGGGGCGGATAGCAGGGAGACAGGAGACAGGGTGGACGAGGAGGAACAAGGAGAAAGCGGAAGGGGAGGGCCGAGGGCCACGAAGAGCGAGGCAAGCTGTAAGGGCGTGCACGCAAAAGAAATATGAGAACAGCACAAGGAGGTGAGTGGGGGAGAAAGGAGAACGGATGCGACCGATCACGCGCATGGATGCGTCATGCGGGCATGTGATGGTGAGTGGAACATGGCATACCTGATCGTACATGGCATACCTGATCGTACATGGCATACCTGATCGTACATGGCATACCTGATCGTACATGGCATACCTGATCGTACATGGCATACCTGATCGTACATGGCATACCTGATCGTACATGGCATACCTGATCGTACATGGCACACCTGATCGTACATGGCACACCTGATCGTACATGGCATACCTGATCGTACATGGCATACCTGATCGTACATGGCATACCTGATCGTACATGGCATACCTGATCGTACATGGCACACCTGATCGTACATGGCACACCTGATCGTACATGGCATACCTGATCGTACATGGCATACCTGATCGTACATGGCATACCTGATCGTACATGGCATACCTGATCGTACATGGCATACCTGATCGTACATGGCATACCTGATCGTACATGGCATACCTGATCGTACATGGCATACCTGATCGTACATGGCACACCTGATCGTACATGGCACACCTGATCGTACATGGCATACCTGATCGTACATGGCATACCTGATCGTACATGGCATACCTGATCGTACATGGCATACCTGATCGTACATGGCATACCTGATCGTACATGGCATACCTGATCGTACATGGCATACCTGATCGTACATGGCATACCTGATCGTACATGGCATACCTGATCGTACATGGCATACCTGATCGTACATGGCACACCTGATCGTACATGGCATACCTGATCGTACATGGCATACCTGATCGTACATGACATACCTGATCGTACATGGCATACCTGATCGTACATGGCATACCTGATCGTACATGGCATACCTGATCGTACATGGCCCTCTTTTCATCATCCTTTAGCACCTGTGTGGCGACACACACAAACACTCGCACAGGCACATGTACACACATGCACACACACGCACACACACGCACACACATGCACACACACGCACACACACGCACACACACGCACACACATGCACACACACGCACACACACGCACACACGCACACACATGCACACACTTGCTCACACACGTGTCTCACACGTGTCACACACACGGCACGCATAGATGAAAGTTCAGCATGCAGGGCGGCACGCAAACAAGCAAGCAAGTGGCATTTCACAATTCACACAGTACAATGGCAGAGACAGACGAGAGCAGCACGTAGGGCGGAGAAGGAAGCGCACATGCGATGAGATGAGCCCATCCCAGCCCTGCCCTGCCACCTCCCTCCCACTGCCTGCTGCCACCACCCCCCCCCTCCCTACCTCGTACGCCTGCTGCACTTCTTGGAACTTCTTGGCTGCATTGGGGTCGTCCTTGTTGGCGTCCGGGTGGTACTTCTTCGCCAGCTGCCACCCCACCATGCCCCACCACGACCCACCACGCCCCACCACACACCACCACACACCACGGCGCACCACAGCGAAGGAGGAGCGGGGGGGAGCAGTCCATGCAGGGAGGGGCAGGGGGGAGCAGGAGGGGCGGGGAGCAACGACGAGGGCATCATGTCAAAGACGCGCCCAGTATACCGTGAAAGAGATGCAACGAGTCGCAGCAAGCAGCGACGCTAGCGAGCACATAGTGGTAATGGCATGGTCACATGATGGCACGTACCGCATAGAAGGCCTTTTTGATTTCTGCGGCCGTTGCCTTCCTTGACACCCCCAACACCGCATAGTAATCCCGCCCCCTTCCCCCCCCTGCTGCTGCCGCTGCCGCTGCGGCGCCTGGGAGTGAGAGGCAAGCGAAGGGCGGATGGAAAGGACAAGACGGGAAGAATACGAATGAAACTGCTGCTGTGGCCCACTTACATTCACAATCACACCCACACTCACACTCATTCAGCCATACTCACACTCACTCAAACGCACTCATAATCACACACACATACCAACCAGCTCACATCCACACACGTGCACTCACATACGCATGTGCACATATACATACCACACACCCCATCACACGCCGCCACAAAACACCACCCCAACGCCTCCAACCACAGCCCACCCCACCGCACAGCACGCACATGCTATCACGGCTGACGCCAGCTGGCAGCGCACCTGACGCGTGGAAGGCACGGTGAAAGAGCGAGCTGCGCTGCCACGTGGCAGTGGCTGATTCGAGTGGATTGGAAACGGCGAATGGAGCGGCGCGAGCTGAGAGGCAGTGAGGGGCGGCGTGAAACACACGGTGGAGGTTGCAGTGGACGCTACGGGAATGGGCGGGGCTCAGTGGAGTGAGGCGGGGGGAATCGCGGAGAAGGGATGGCGTGTGGAGGGGTTGGGGCGCGGCGCCACGCGTGCCGCCCGCCCTCTCTGCGCCCTCAGCTGCCGCGTGGCTGCATGCTGCCGCCCGTTCACCGCCACACACCGCCCCTGACCGCTCTGCTCTCCACAGCACCTCCGCTGCTGCGACGTGGCTGCTCGCGACTTGCGTGGACGAGACATGCGTGCGCGCGTCCCGTTGAATCTCCTGCCCGCCTGATGGTGCGCCCGTCGCGCATCCGTCGCCTGCACACGCGGAAAAGGGGAGTGACGAGCCGTCGAGGGCAGTGGGAAGAGAAGAGGAAAGGAATTGCGGAAGGCGAAGGGTGACCGACAAGCGAGGGACGCAGGGCGAAGCGTGTGGGAGCGATGGCAGGAGCGGGGAGGACAATAGAGTCAATGCACTGCCGCCTTGCTGCTGCGGCCATGCGGCCGAGCGCCGTGCGAGGCGGGCTCTCGTAGCGCAATGAACGGCGATCGGCGTGTGAATGTGCGCTGCGACAACCCACCAGCGCTGTGACTGCCGCATATCGCCGCGCCGCCGCGCGTGGGCGGCGGGAGCCTGGCGAGGCCGCGAGAGCGCGCGTGGCGAAGCATGAGAGGACTTGCGCGGATCGAGAGATGATCCGCTTTGGCGTTAAGAGCGGAATTTGTGGACGAGAGGTTGGAGTGCTTGCGAGGCAGCGAGGACGGTCGCACGGACGCGGGTGCAGGCAAGATGGGGAAAGCACAGCCGTGAGAAGCTTGGAAAAGTAGCGACACGGACGACTTCTGGAAGGATCCTCTCGCTCGGTGCAGCAACTGAACGCCTTTATAAGGGCGTGTAAAATTGTAACGCCCAAACGCTATGGTCGATCATTTGGGCGTTTCTGGCGAGTGCGAAATGTGTAACACTCAAACGAACCCCGCCACAAACTTCGTCAGCATTTGGGGCACCCACCCCCTTAATAGAAACGGAAATTTTTGATTCCCTTTACTGCATTCGAAAGGGGTGTGGAATAGGGGGATCTGAAGCCTAGACTAAAGTGTTTACCAAAGCAGTGGGTTTAGATAAACGGAAAAATATCTCCCCGCTGAGCATAAAGCGGTGCGTAAATTTCTGTTCAGAAATTACCAGTGAAAATCGGTCATATCGGGGTGACTACTTCAATCGGCGTAACCCTAATTCCTCGCAATCGCCAAAAACGCCCAAATGATCGACCATAGCGTTTGGTCGTTACAATTTTACACGCCCTAAAAACCATCGGCTCCCACCCATGTACAGTGTGTGGTGGTAAAGTGTTCACATCCATCCTCTGATGTGTATACATAATTGTCTACCCCGAAGCTTAGAACGTTTGTAGTGCATGTACTATGTATAGAACAAAATATGCTTGTATGCTGAATTCCTTGACAGACTTTTGGTCCTTCTGCATCGCAGTTGCATCTTGATAGGGTAGAAATCGTGTTGCGGTATTCTCTAGAATGCGAGTTCGTGATTCGGCGATGCGACCCTAGCTCGTTCTTTTTCGCCCCGTCGTCTTCCGTCGACACACGGCGACCGGCGCGCGAATTATCGGCGCATCGTTACGCTGTGCGCGAGCGCAATGGACGAGCAGTCGCCTGAGAAGCGCTTCGCGCGGGCGATGCAAATCCTATCGCCGCCACTGGCGGCCCGATCTAGGTCTGGCAGGGATGATTCGCCTGGCACGGCTTGGCTTGGGTTATGTTCGAGTTGACTTGGCTCGGCTTGTCTGTCTGTCTGATTAGTACTCTCGCTTTTAAGGCCTCGCCTGTTCTTAGGTTTCCGTCCTTCCGTTGTCGCGTGTTTCTCGCCTGTCTCTCGCCGTCATTCATTCTTTCTTTCCCGGAGCACAGACACGCTGTATTTTTTCCTTCGTTCCTCTCGCATGTCTGCCAGCTCAGCAGCCCGTCACACACTGACACCTGGATCCAGCGTGGCACCGTTCCGCGGCGTGGCGGCCCAAGCGGCGTTCAGCTCCAGCAGCGCGCCGCCGCGCGCCGCCCAGCCGCTCTCGCTGCGGCCGTCTCTGGGCGAAGCGGGAGGGGCGGGCTCCCCCGCGATGCAAGCGCACGGCGACGCAGCAGCGGCAGCGCGGGCGGGAGCGGCTGCGTGCCGGCCGTGGGAGCGCAACGACCTGCTGCGGCGGCTGGCGACGTTCAAGTCCACCACGTGGTTCGCCAAGCCGCAGGTGCGCCGCCGCGCTGCTCCCATGCTGCCTTGCTGCTCGCACGTGTTGCTCGCATGCGCGGATGTGTGCGTGCACGCTTCATGCGAGTAAGCATCCATTTGCGCCTCGCGTCCCGCCTCTCCTCCTTCCCTCTCCCCTCTCCCACGGCAGGCGGCGGGGGCGGTGGCGTGCGCGCGGAGGGGGTGGGTGAACTGCGACGTGGACATGCTGGCGTGCGAGGTGTGCCACGCGCGCCTCAGCTTCTGCGTGCCGCCCACGTGGTCCAGAGCTCAAGGTCAGCTTTTGCGTGCCGCCCACGTGGTCCAGAGCTCAAGGCCAGCTTTTGCGTGCCGCCCACGTGGTCCAGAGCTCAAGGTCAGCTTTTGCGTGCCGCCCACGTGGTCCAGAGCTCAAGGTCAGCTTTTGCGTGCCGCCCACGTGGTCCAGAGCTCAAGGTCTGTCTGTGTGCCGCGCCGCCCACGTGCTCTCGTGTTTCTGGTCGATTGCGTGCCTCTCCTCAACCACCCCACCTCCCCTCGTACACTCACATCGCATCCACCCATCCCCTCCTCCTCCCCTTGGGACCGGGGGCGGCAGTGGAGCGGGCAGCAGCGGAGGTGGCGGGGCGGCTGGAGTCGGCGCACAGGCAGCACTGCGCGTGGCGGGGCAACGAGTGCGACGAGGCGCTGCTGCTCTTCCCCCCCCAGCCGCCCGCCGCGCTGGCCGCGGCCGTGTTTGAGCGCTGCCAGGCGCTGCAGCAGCTGGCGCGCCTGCCCGCGCTTGCGCCCGCAGCAGTGGAGCGCATGAGGCGCTGCAGCCCGCGCGCCCTGGACGCGCTGCTGGCGCTGCCCGCGCTGCCGGTGGGCGCACCGTGGGACGACCCCGTGGGGCGCTCAGCCACGCGCGTGACGTCAGACGCCGCTGCTTACATCGAGGTGCGTGCCTTGCCTCTCCGCACTCCCCCTCACGTCAACAACCCTGCCTGTGCGCTCGTCTGTCCCCCACTCTCACACGCCTTGCCCCACCCCATGTCTCCACGGTCCCACGGTGGCACATTGTTCGTGCGTGGGCAGGTGCAGCGCATCATCGCAGTGTGCGGGTGGGAGCCGCGCGCCCTGGGCGTGCTGCCTGACGCGCACGACCCGCCCCACGCCAACCACCGCCACCCGCCTGCACACCCCACCGCCCCTCTGCCCGCTCTGCCCGCCCATGGGCGCGCGCACGTGCCTGCGCGCCCCCCGCCTGGCATCCCTGCGAGCGCGGCGGTGCTGCAGTGCGCGCTGTGCGGCGCCAGCGTGGGCGTGTGGAACTACTCCACGCTGCCCCGCCCCCCCGCCCCCCTCGCCCTCCCCCCCGCCTCGCCCCAGCTCTCCGCCCGCCAGGGGCCAGCAGGGGAGGAGGGGGCGAGGGAGCGGGAGGTGCAGGCGGAGAGGGGCAGTGAGGGAGGGGCGGGGAAGGCAGAGAAGGAGCAGCGGGAAGGCGAGAGTGGGGCGCGGAAGAGTCTTCCCCCCGCTCCTGCAGCAGCTGCCATCATTATCGCGCCGGTGGGGGGAATGAGCATCACGAGCCCCCCGCACAGGGCGGGGCTGGGCGCAGGGGGCAAGGTAAGGGGGCGGTGGGGAGCGTCTCAGGGGCAGGGGGGCGCGGGGGTGGCGGAAAGGATGGGGGAGGGCTCGGAGGAAGGGGTGGGGGGAGCGAAGGAAGGGGCTAGGGTAGAGGGGGAAGCGGAGGGAGGTGCAGGGGGAGAGGGCACGGAGAGGGGCATGGGGCCCGAGGTGGTCACTTCGCCCAGGCGGGTGCATGGTCGCCAGGAGGGGGAGGACGCGATGGACGAGCAAGGAATTGCTGCCCCGCTTGCCGCTGTGTCCGCTGCCCCTGCCCTTGCTGTTGCTGCTGCTGCTACCCCTGCTACTGCCACTGCTGCGTCTGCTGGTGGTGCCGGTGGTGGTGTGGGTAGGAGAGCGGCAGCAGGCAGCATGGGTGCGCCTGCCTCTGTGGTGAGGAGGCGGAAGCAGGGGTTGGAGGCGGGGGGGGCGACAGCAGGAGTTGAGGCGGAGGCTGTGCGCCCTGCTGCCCCCGTGGCAGCAGCACTGTCAATAGCAGGCAGCGCCACGCCACTCGGAGCTGCGTCCGCTGCTGCCCCACCACCGCCTTCCGAGCACCGCCCACCATCGCCAGCAGCTCCAGCAGGAGGAGGTGCAGCAGGGGGAGCACCAGCGGGTGCAGCAGCAGGAGCGGGCGGGGTGGCACTGGACCTGGGTCTGACCATCGCTGGCGGCCTCCCCCCCACGCACCTCTCCTCCTCGCCCCCTCCGCGCCCCTTCGGCTCTGCCTCCGCCCTCCCCCTCTTTGGCGCCGGCCTGCCCATTCCTGGCTGCCACCTCAGCGGCCCTGCCGGCGCCAATCCGGGGGCAGGCGGCAAGGCAGGCGCAGGGGGGGGAGGAGGGGGAGGTGGAGGGGGAGTGGAACGGGGCGGGGGAGGGGAACCAGCAGGGAGAGTAGGGGTAGAGGGGGAGGGAGGTGGAGAGGGAGGGGGAGAGGGTGGAGGCGTGGGCGCGGAGGGGTTTGGGCAGTGTTTGGGCGAGGTGAGCTTTGGGCGGGGGGGCGTGGCGGTGCTGCCGATGAACAGTGCGGAGGGCGTGGTGGCGGAGATGGAGGAGGTGTCCTCCGAGGAGGCTGAGGTGGAGGGCTCTCTGCGCGCCCGCGCCGCCCGCGCCAGGGGGGACGCTCGCCGCGCTGCGGGCAGCAAGGGTGCGCCAGAGGGCGAGGCGGAGGGGCCAGTGGGCGGGCACGCAGGCAGGGGGGCGTGGGGCAAGGAGGGGGGGGATGAGAACGAGAGGATGGAGGGGGGCGATGAGAGTGGGAGGGGCGAGGGGTGTGGGGAGACTCAGCGGCTGGAGGGGGGCGATGAGACCGGCAACGAGGGGGAGGGCGCGGGGGCGGCAGTGGCAGCACAGCAGAGCCGGCACGAGGGGGCTAGAGCCGACATCATTGCGTGCGTGAGCACGGGTCCCACGCAGGGCAGCAGCATGCAGGGCGGTGGCGGTGGCGGTGGCGGTGGCGGGGAGGGAGGTGACAGGGGTCGTGTGGAGCAGCAGTTGTCGGCAGCGGCGTTTCTTGTGCCGTCCACACGTGCTCCGGCTGCCAGCACGGCAGGCAGGGGAGGTGTGGGTGGGGAAGAGGGTGTGCCTGGAGGTGTGGCGTCAGCGGGAGGCAGTGGCGCAGTGGGATGCAGTGCGGTGGGGCACGGGGATGGCGCACAGCAGCGGGGCAGGGCGGTTGAGGGGCAGGGGAGGCGGGGGCGGGCGGCAGAGGGCAGGGCGGGCGGCAGTGAGTTCCTGGAGCCGCCTCAGAAGCGCCGCCACGTGGACGCGTCCTCCTCCCACGCGCCCCGCCCCCCTGCCTCGCGCGCTGCCTTGGGCGTGGGGCCACGAGGCAAGGCTGCGGGCGCAGGGGGAGGAGGGGCTGGGAGAGGGGTGGTTGGAGGGAAGGGGGCGGGAGGCAAGGTCGGTGAAGCCCTGGGTGCTGCTACTGCGTCTCCTCCTGCTGCTGCTGGCGCTGGTGCTGCTGCTGAGCTTGCTTCTGCTGTGGGGGCTGGCGCTGGTGCTGGTGCTGGTGGTGGCGCAGCAGCAGGGGCAGGGGCAGGGGCAGGGGCGTTGGGCGGGGTGGGGGGCGAGTGGGCGCGGGCGTCGTCGGTGTACGCAACCAACACGGACTTCAGTGAGCGCGATGACACCAGCGCTGACAGCGTTGACAACCTGCCGCCCCCCCTCGACCTGCACGCCCAGGGGGCAGCGCAGGGGGGGGTGGCGGGGGCGGGAGGGCAGGGGGGCGAGCAGATGGAGGTAGCCAGTGAGGTGGCGGGCGTTGTGGAGCGCGGGGCAGAGATGGGTGGGGGAGAGGAAGGGAGCAGCAGGGGGGGACATGTGCAGTTGTCACCTGGGGCGCAGGCGGGTGTGGGGGATGAGGCAAAGGAGAGGGCAGAGGCAGAGGGCCGCATGGGGGAGGGACGAGGCTTTGAGGGGGAAGCTGTTGCCGAGGGCATGGGGATGCAGGGGGGGATGGGAGGAGCGGAGCAGGGGGGTGTTGCTGCTCACAGCACTGCCGCCAGCGCTGGTGCTGCCACTGCCGCCGCTGCTGCTGCTGTTGCTGGGTCGGCCATGGGTGTGGGCGCAGGGGCTGTGGGTGCGGGCGTGAGTGCAGCGAGTGCAGGGCGCATTGAGGCGCGTGTGGGGGGGACGGTGGGGGCGGAGGGCGAGGAGGGGCTGAGCAAGAGCGGAGAGGGGGGGGGCGGGGGGGAGGGCGAGGCGGCGACGAACGCGGCGGTGATCAGCACGGGCACGGCGGGGGACGACGCGGAGGGGCCGGGCGGGGGCAGTGTGGCGATGGGGGCGAGCGTGGAGGTGGAGGCGCAGGCGCTGGAGGGCGACGTCGTGGACGCCTCGCGCGCCCTCGCCTCCACCGACGCCCCCGCCTCCGCCGGCGCCCCTCCCCACGCTCCCACTGCTGCGCCGGCTGCTGTGGCGCTCTCTGCCTGCCGCAGCGTGGTGGGCGGCGCCTGGGGGGGCGCTTCTGGCGGCGCTGCTGGCACAGGGGCGGGCAGTGCGCCTAGGGGCGCGGAGAGGCAGCATGGGGAGGGCTCAGGGGGGAGAGGGGCAGAGGGGGAGGGGGAGGGGCATGTGGAGAGGGGAGGCGCCAGGCAGGTGGAGAGTTTCAGCTTTGCAGGGGGAGGATGGGGTGGGCGATGGGGTGGAGGGGAGGACGGGGGCAGAAGGCGAGGGGAAGCTGGGGAAGAGATAAGGGGGAATGCGGTGGGAGGGCTGGGTGAGATGGAAGCTGGGATTGGTGGGGAGCACCTTGGGCAGACGGGGGAGGGCATGGGGGAGGGGATGGGGGAGGGGATGGGCGAGGGTGCAGGTATGACAGGAGTTGAGCAGGTGACGGTGGGGGGTGTAGAGGTAGCGGAGACAGGGGGGGGAACGGGGGCGACGGGGGGAAGGGAAGGACGGGGCAGTGGCGGGCTGGGGGAGGGGCGGAGGGGAAGCAGCGTGGGGAAGGGAGGTGAGGAGGCGGCAAGGGGTGAGGTTGGAGGGGGGGAGGGGGCGGGGGAAGCGAAGGAAGGGCAGGGTGGGGGCCGTGAGTGGGGAGTGCAGAGGGAGGGTGCAGGGGAGACGGGGGGCCCAGAGGAGACCCGCGACACCACCCAGGGGCTGCTCATTGGGGAGGATGCTGACGGGGATGGCGATGCTGAGGTGGACGTCCGTGCTGACGTGGCGAATGCTGGAGCAACAGCAGGGGCAGCGGGCGTGCAGGAAGCAGCAGAGGGCACGGGGGAGGTGGGGCTGGCAGCAGGTGGGGCAGAGGGGGGCGGGGAGGGGGCGGTGGGGATGGATGTGGATGAGGGGCAGGGGGAGGGCGGGGGGGTGGCGGAGCAGCGTGGGCGAGTGGGGGAGCGGGCAGTTGGCGATGAGCGCGTGAGTGGCGGCGACGGCACAGGTGGCGTGAATGGGCAAGGAGAGGTGCGGGGGGGAGCAGGCAGCAGGCAGCACAGGGGTGGGGAGGAGCGAGGCGAGCATGGAGGCAGTGGCGGTGCACCTGGGGGGGATGCAGACGAGGTGCCTGTGCAGGGAGAAAGGGGGGACGGCCATGGGGGAGTGCATGGGGCTGGCAGGGAAGGGCAGACTGTGGATGGTACTGCCACTGCTGCTGCCCTTCATGCCCCGCCCGTTCCTGCTGCTCGTGCTGCAAGTGGTGCTGCCAACGGTGTGGGTCCACCTTGTGTGGGGGAGGCTGAGGTCAGCAGTGGCTCACCTCCCGCTGCTGCCAATGCTGCCACTCCTGCCACGCCGCCTGCTGTCAGTGCTGCTGCTCCCGCCCCTGTCTCTGCCCTTCCTGCCACTGACGTAGGGCCTCCCACTGGTGCGTATTGTTGTGCTCTCCCACCACTGCACTCTCTTCGCCCTTGAGTCCTCTCACCAATCTGCTCGTTCCAAAGTTGCTTTCACCTCACATATTTGTTTTTTCCCCGCGCCTCCGCTTTCACCTCACTCTGCTCTCACATGTAGAATAGCCCTGCGCCGCCACCATTCACCAGCCCATCACCAAGCTTCACCATGTTCCACCACATGCACGGCCCATGCCGCCACACTTTGCCACATGCCTCCGTGCAACCCTTTGCCCCCGTGTTCTGATGCAGATGAGCCGCAGCGCCTCTTTGACCCGCTGCTGAGCCACCGCCGCTTCTGCCCGTGGGTCAACGCCCTCGCCGCCTCCCACCGCCTCAAAGCCCTCGCTTCCCCCGCCCAGGACCTCAGCCTGTCTGCCTCGCCCCATGCCCACCGTCTCCCTGCCGTGCCCCCCTCCCACGGCGCCGACCCTGAGGCGGTGGAGGGGGGAGCGCCCGGATGGCAGCAGTGCCTGGCCGCGCTGCACCACGTGCTGCCCGCCGCCGCTGCCCCCGCTCACAGGCCGCTGCACTCCGTCGCCCACAGGGCTGCTGAGGGGCCCGACAGGGCGGCTGAAGGGGCGGCGGACTGGCTGCCTGGAGGAATGGACGCACTCGACTCGGTGGCGTCCTTCAAGGTAGGTGGCATCGTTCAAGGTAGGTGGCATCGTTCAAGGTAGGTGGCATCGTTCAAGGTAGGTGGCATCGTTCAAGGTAGGTGGCATCGTTCAAGGTAGGTGGCATCGTTCAAGGTGGGTGGCATCGTTCAAGGTAGGTGGCATCGTTCAAGGTAGGTGGCATCGTTCAAGGTAGGTGGCATCGTTCAAGGTAGGTGGCATCGTTCAAGGTAGGTGGCATCGTTCAAGGTAGGTGGCATCGTTTAAGGTAGGTGGCATCGTTCAAGGTGGGTGGCATCGTTCAAGGTAGGTGGCATCGTTCAAGGTAGGTGGCATCGTTCAAGGTAGGTGGCATCGTTCAAGGTAGGTGGCATCGTTCAAGGTAGGTGGCATCGTTCAAGGTAGGTGGCATCGTTCAAGGTAGGTGGCATCGTTCAAGGTAGGTGGCATCGTTCAAGGTAGGTGGCATCGTTCAAGGTAGGTGGCATCGTTCAAGGTAGGTGGCATCGTTCAAGGTAGGTGGCATCGTTCAAGGTAGGTGGCATCGTTCAAGGTAGGTGGCATCGTTCAAGGTAGGTGGCATCGTTCAAGGTAGGTGGCATCGTTCAAGGTAGGTGGCATCGTTCAAGGTAGGTGGCATCGTTCAAGGTAGGTGGCATCGTTCAAGGTAGGTGGCATCGTTCAAGGTAGGTGGCATCGTTCAAGGTGGGTGGCATCGTTCAAGGTGGGTGGCATCGTTCAAGGTAGGTGGCATCGTTGAAGGTAGGTGGCATCGTTGAAGGTGGGTGGCATCGTTCAAGGTGGGTGGCATCGTTCAAGGTAGGTGGCATCGTTCAAGGTAGGTGGCATCGTTCAAGGTAGGTGGCATCGTTCAAGGTAGGTGGCATCGTTCAAGGTAGGTGGCATCGTTCAAGGTAGGTGGCATCGTTCAAGGTAGGTGGCATCGTTCAAGGTAGGTGGCATCGTTCAAGGTAGGTGGCATCGTTCAAGGTAGGTGGCATCGTTCAAGGTAGGTGGCATCGTTCAAGGTAGGTGGCATCGTTCAAGGTAGGTGGCATCGTTCAAGGTAGGTGGCATCGTTCAAGGTAGGTGGCATCGTTCAAGGTAGGTGGCATCGTTCAAGGTAGGTGGCATCGTTCAAGGTAGGTGGCATCGTTCAAGGTAGGTGGCATCGTTCAAGGTAGGTGGCATCGTTCAAGGTAGGTGGCATCGTTCAAGGTAGGTGGCATCGTTCAAGGTAGGTGGCATCGTTCAAGGTAGGTGGCATCGTTCAAGGTAGGTGGCATCGTTCAAGGTAGGTGGCATCGTTCAAGGTAGGTGGCATCGTTCAAGGTGGGTGGCATCGTTCAAGGTAGGTGGCATCGTTCAAGGTAGGTGGCATCGTTCAAGGTAGGTGGCATCGTTCAAGGTGGGTGGCATCGTTCAAGGTAGGTGGCATCGTTCAAGGTAGGTGGCATCGTTCAAGGTAGGTGGCATCGTTCAAGGTAGGTGGCATCGTTCAAGGTAGGTGGCATCGTTCAAAGTAGGTGGCATCATTCAAAGTAGGTGGCATCGTTCAAGGTAGGTGGCATCGTTCAAGGTAGGTGGCATCGTTCAAGGTAGGTGGCATCGTTCAAGGTAGGTGGCATCGTTCAAGGTAGGTGGCATCGTTCAAGGTAGGTGGCATCGTTCAAGGTAGGTGGCATCGTTCAAGGTAGGTGGCATCGTTCAAGGTAGGTGGCATCGTTCAAGGTAGGTGGCATCGTTCAAGGTAGGTGGCATCGTTCAAGGTAGGTGGCATCGTTCAAGGTAGGTGGCATCGTTCAAGGTAGGTGGCATCGTTCAAGGTAGGTGGCATCGTTCAAGGTAGGTGGCATCGTTCAAGGTAGGTGGCATCGTTCAAGGTAGGGTGGCATCGTTCAAGGTGGGTGGCATCGTTCAAGGTAGGTGGCATCGTTCAAGGTAGGTGGCATCGTTCAAGGTAGGTGGCATCGTTCAAGGTGGGTGGCATCGTTCAAGGTAGGTGGCATCGTTCAAGGTAGGTGGCATCGTTCAAGGTAGGTGGCATCGTTCAAGGTAGGTGGCATCGTTCAAGGTAGGTGGCATCGTTCAAAGTAGGTGGCATCCTTCAAAGTAGGTGGCATCGTTCAAGGTAGGTGGCATCGTTCAAGGTAGGTGGCATCGTTCAAGGTAGGTGGCATCGTTCAAGGTAGGTGGCATCGTTCAAGGTAGGTGGCATCGTTCAAGGTAGGTGGCATCGTTCAAGGTAGGTGGCATCGTTCAAGGTAGGTGGCATCGTTCAAGGTAGGTGGCATCGTTCAAGGTAGGTGGCATCGTTCAAGGTAGTTGGCATCGTTCAAGGTAGGTGGCATCGTTCAAGGTAGGTGGCATCGTTCAAGGTAGGTGGCATCGCTCAAGGTAGGTGAAAGATCCTTTGGGGGCATGGGGCTCAGGTGCTGCGAGTGCGCGGAGCATGTTGGCTTGTGTTGCTAGGGATGCTCGTCTGGCCCGCCTTCTAGGACCGTTAGAAGGAGTCTAGTCTGGGCAGGCTAAGAAACGTTTTTGGGCAGGTAAAAAAACGTGCGAAGGTGGGAGGGGAGGGGGTTGGGAGGGGAGGGAGGGGGGGGTGGTTGGGCGCAGAGCAACCACAATGTAGGCGAGGGGTTGTGGGTGGTAGCCAGGTACTGCTGAGACTTCACTGGCCAAGAAGTTATATCATTTGGCGTGCCAGAACTCTTGTGCTCTTCCCCTTTTCCTTGCCTCCCTGTCTTGCTCTCCACATGATTGGTAATGACGGATGCACTATGTGCCATGCACCATCACATACCATGCGCATTCATGCATCCTGCCTCACGTGTTGTACATGCACACATGCATGGTGGCTCATGCGCGTGACAGGGTGACACGGTCTCATCTGTTCGAAGACTCTTCCAAGGCCGGCGTTCCTCGTCCTTTGTCTCTCGCACGCATCACTCCCCTCAGTAGTAATTCCATTCCACATTCAAGCGGCCTTTCAGTTGCACATGTGGCCAGGCCACTATGGCTGAACTTCCTGACCTGTTTAGCTCAGCTCTGCACAACCTTCATGCTTACCTGTCTTGTGACTTGTCTCCATTCATCCATCCGCAGTACCTTTTGGCAGGGATGGGTTGGAAAAACATTGCATGAAGAAGAAAGAGAAAAAAGGAATGTATAAAAAGCAGACACCTTCATTGCCCAGATACACTCATGACTCATCGCATATTGTTGAGAAACATGGCAGCTTATATTGTAAACCGAGAGAAATGGGTGACTTACAGATTACGTGGGTTGGTAGCCTTTATACACTCCACATTGATTAAGACAAGACTCTCCAAGGAGTCTGCAGAGCAGTCGTCAGCAGTCGTCATATTTCAGATCTCAATCATACAGCACACTAGATTGCAAATTACAAAGATAATGAGGATATAACGAGACGAAAATAACTACCACTGGTATAGAGACGAGGCTAACGAGGCTACTAACTAGCGTAAGGGCGGGAGGGTGGGTTCTAGATTCAGATCTAGAAATGATTCGACTAGGTGGCAGGTCTGTGGACCTGCCACGAGATAAGGAGCAGATGACTCCTTACTGCATAATCCTTTACAAGTCTTGTCATAATCTTTAAATTTTGAAAATTGTATTTAAAAATTTTACATATTAAGACAAGACTCTCCAAGGAGTCTGCAGAGCAGTCGTCATAGGAGATAAGAGACATTAGGTGCGTCGGGAGCAAGGCTCTAGAACTCAGGGTTTTACCTTAGTAGGGAAGGACGGAATGGAATGGAGGAACTATATACACTCACCTACTATTGTGGGGGAGGTTCCCAAGAAGAGAACAATGAAAGAAGTATCAGATGCGCGTAAGAATCGAGTGAGCAATAAGTTGCACAGTGATTGTCGCAAGAAATCATCAGTAGCGATGAGGCGCCATCCATCTCGTAAGAGAACCTAAATAAAACCCTTTGGCAGTCGTTCGAGGATGTTAGTCGTTTATCCGACGACCGAGCACGTAAGTGATGAAGTCGGGAAGTTATGGTAGCTAACCATAGTTGTTGAATTGAGCATAATGTCAACATTGTGAAATAACATCACGTCACTTCGATGTAGGGCGGGCCTTTCGCAGCATGACTACATGACTAAGTCGTATTTACCGTAGATCACGGTCGATGACGTATTGCTCACGTTAACATGTTGATGCACTGGTTGCATGGTATGCAAACGATGTTGCCTCGAGTATTAAGGCTGAAGACTAGTGGCATGTTGCTGCAAAGGAGTTGTGAAGCACATACCAAACTTTGACGCATTTCCAATGTGTACAATGCATACAGCTTGTGTAACCAGCTTACAATCCGGTGCCCTTGATAGGGCATTCGTTGTCAATTAACAGAAAAACATGCAGTATCGAATTTAGCGCCTCTGTAAATACGGTAGCACTATGTGTTCAAGGTTCAATAGATGCAGGAGCCATGAAAAGGGGAACCAACGGTTAGTACGCAATGGAAAAACCATGCTATACGATATGGGAAATTTTATGAAACGTGAGCCATTACGACATGGAATATCATCAGTGAAGTGGGTGTGTGAGGGCAAGCAACCCGCCTCTCGACGAGATCCACCTTTTGTATAGACCAAAAGGTCCGAATCACATCAGCTATAAGGTTAGATGTGCGCATAGAAGCGACAACCAACCAAATATTTCCAATCCATCCTCCAGCATTATGCTCGTAACGTGCATGCTCAAGACACGAGTTTGTGTTAACGAAAGTGCAATGATGTTGACAGATCGCACGCCAGATCGATATCCTTCCCCTTTTGGTGGTGTGACTTCATAAAAAGACGAAAGACTTCAAGGTGAGGGGCTGTGAAATGGTTAATCCAAATGGGGTATACACGCACAGCAGCAGCGATCGCACAGCAGCAGCGATCGCGAAGCAGGAGCAGCAGAGATTGCGCGGCAGCAGCAGCAGCAGCAGCGATCGCACAGCAGCGGCGATCGCACAGCAGCAGCGATCGCGAAGTAG